TCTCCTAAGTCTACCAGACTTCCTGTTGATTTCCCACCCTCTAGATAAACTAGGTAAATATGAAAAACTTCCCACTTAATTGTTTTCTAAGGACAACAGGTACATGCAGAGTACACTTGGTATCTTTAATTTCGTTACTCAGGCCGAAGCTGCCCTCTGTTTGTGCAAATGATAGCATATGAGATTTGGTACATGAAATCATTATAAAGATGCCACATTGTAAGGGTGTTTTAAACTAGATTTAAAAAAGTGTGTGTTTCTAATTAGTTTAGTTGGGGAATTACTGATATTTCACAAACAAACAAAAAGCCACAAAACATAAACCAAGGTTTGGGGGCTTTGTAGTACTCGTGCTTTGGTTTTTATTTCTGACGTAATTCCTAGAATATTTAGCTTAGTAACATTTTTTTTTTTTTTCCGAGACAGAGTTTCTCTGTGTAGCTTTGCGCCTTTCCTGGATCTCGCTCTGTAGACCAGGCTGGCCTCGAACTCACAAAGATCCACCTGGCTCTGCCTCCCAAGTGCTGGGATTAAAGGCGTGCGCCACCACCGCCCGGCGCTTAGTAACATTTTAAGGTGCTGCTGTAAATTGGATCCAGATGTTCATGTGGTAAAGGCTTGTTCCCAGTGTGGCGCTATTAGGAGATAATGGAACCTTTAAGAGATAGAGCCAAATGGGGGGTACTTAGGGTCACTAGGAACCATGCTCCCAAAGGGATTCCATATTCCGGGCCCATTCCCTCGGTTTGCTTTCTAGCTGTGAAGGGAGGGGCTTTTCCTCCACCGCACGCTCCCACTACGCTCGGCTGCCTTGCCCCAGACCCGGTGCGGCCGAGCCAGTCAGTCCCAGACCGAAACCCCGAAGGAAGCCTCTTCTCTTTGGAAGTTGATTTGACTCAGAAATGCATGGTTGACTAAAATGAGGTTGTTTGATTTTCATATATTAGACAATAAAGAATATTCACTGGGTGAAAATTTAAAACAATTAGAAATAATGGCTTTCAGTGTTAAATACTTTTCTTTTAGAGAGGGTCTTGTAGTCTAGGCCAAATTGGTGTTCAGCTGTGTTCCTCCTCCTTCAGTCTCCTTCTGAGTATTGAGATTACAGGCGTGGGTCACCGTACTGGCTCTCCCATGTGTAACTTCCTTCCGTTTTGAGATTTTTCAGTACTTAGTAATATTCTCAGTTTTCCAGTTCTTATTTTAACAAAGGTTAACATGTTCATAGTTCAAGGCCTACGTACCAAGCCCTCGGGAAGACTGCGGTCCCCAACGTCTCTCTGTTGCTGATCCACCTAAGAAGGAACAGCCGGGAGATTGAACGTCTTTTCTCCCTGCTCCTGCCCTCAGCCCTCTCCTCCCGCCGCCTTGCTGCTCCTTTTCCAGGGTAAGAGCTAGTCAGCAGGAAGCCTGGTTGTGCGGTCCATGAAGGCTGGCCTCTGGGCTATGAGAGAGGTAGAGGGAGTCCAAAGTGACAAACGGAAGGCCCAGCCCAGTAGTTTGGTTTCCATTAACATGTTTTAGGGGCCTGTGATCTTGTTGTTGTTTTAAATACCATCTTAGTCCTGTGTAGTCGATGCGATTTCTTTTTCTTATTACATGCATTTGTGCGTGTACATGTGTGCGTGTGCATGTGCGTGCCTGAGTGTGAAAATGGATGGCAAAGGACAACTGTGGGGGTTGAGCCATCACTCCAGCCCATAATTTGTTTTCATTTGAAAACTTCTCTTCTTCCAGCACCAACTGGAAGTTTGGTTGAAGTTGCTTCTTTTTTTCAGTTCATTTTGATCTGTTTTTCCTGGTAAGAGCGTCTCCTACGGTGCCAGCTTAGATATAACTACAGCTCTGAAGCTGGTAAAGGTCTGTGCAGATGGAGGGTGCTTGGCATCTTGGGTTTTTACTACAGGCTGAGATGGCTTGGACCATTTTGTTGGGAGCCCTTAGTGTCCATCTCATTAGAATTTTCCCGATGAATTCATGCATGTTTCCAGCGTTGCCGGAGCTAGAGAAGAAGGGCCAGAGCCCATTCATCTTCCTCTCCTCTGCTCACTATGCTGTCATGCCACTGAGACCTGCCCTGGGGTCACACAGGCCAGAGAGTCGTCTGCTCCCCCGTCAGGAGCATAAAGCTGAGCTTCCTGCAGGAGTCGGGGTCTGGCTGCTTCTAAAACAGCTTTCAATCAGCCCTCTACCTTTGGTCCTTCCTTCATTTTATTTCAGAACCAACTTAAAATTCCACTCTTGGCTTTCAGCGTTAACAGTGTCAGGTTCAGATTTCTTTGGTTGCTAAATTAACTACCAGTTGTCTGTTCCTGAATACTTGTTTTTGTCTTCCGCTGAGATGATGCCTTTAAAAAAAAAAAAAAAAAAAAAAAAAAACTTGGTAAGTTTGAGAGAGAAAGTTAAAGCTATCTTTAGCTAGAAGTTTATATTTTCTAAGGACAATAAGCTAGCATGCTTTTTAAAAAATATTTAGAACAATATTTTTCTGGCTGTTGGTGGCACACACCTTTAGTGCCAGCACTCTGGAGGCAGAAGTAGGCAGATCTCCAAGTTCGAGACCAGCCTGATCTACAGAGCAAGTTCCAGGACAGGCAGAACTATACAGAGAAACCCTGTCTCAAAAAAACCAAACCAAACAAAAAATATTGTTCTTGATAGCTGATGCCACATCAGCGGTGTTAGTGACAGGAACGATCACGAATTCCTGAAGGTCCCAGGTCATCAGTGTATCTGCATGCCTTTCTTGGGAGCTCCAGGCACATGGCTGATGCCTTCAAGTCTTGGGACCAAGTGATACTGGGAGGGAAACAATTAAAAATCCTATGGGTTTTTTTTTATTATTTTCATGATTTTTCTGGGCATTTTAAAAGTCTGTTTATTTATAAAACCAAACTCAGTGATCTTAATACACATTCGTTTATTCGCAGAGGCAGCTACAAGTTGCCACACCACTGCATTCACCCTATTTTTCCTTTTCTCCAACCTTTATCTAAATTGTTGATCTCACTCATCAGTCTCTGTTGCTCCAGAGAAGTGATCCAGCTGTGTCCTTTCTTTAAGAAAATCAGCCTCATCACATCTGTGCTCTGGGGACCATCACAGAGGAGGGGTGGGGAGATGAGGAGATGGTAAGTCAGAGGCCGGGGAGGGCTGGGCAGAAACAGCGTTTTCTGGTCTGACAGGACGATTGCAGTCTCCCAGCAGCTGTGTTTGCCTGCACACAATCAAGCCAGTCAACATCCCAGCATGGCGCGGGGAAGGACTCAAGATCCCCTGAGGAGCCAGGGGTGCCACTTCTGGGATATGGGGTGGTCGTTGACTTTAGGGATATGGTTCCTGGTAGGTCATTTGTGCTTCAGGATGCCCCCTACGCCCATGAGTGTATGAGCTGCACAAACTGGATTCAGTTGGTTATTTAAAAAAAAAGACATGAAGTTGGGAGGTAGGAATAGATGTGATGGGTGTGGGAGGAACTAGCGGGGGGCACGGGGGGGAAGGGGGGGGACAGTGAATATGATCAATATACATTTTATATGTACGTATGAAATTCTCAAGAATTAATACAAATATTGAGGCCTGGTGTGATGGTGCTTAGGAGGCAAGTCGATCTCTTGGAATTCAAGGCCAACCTTGTCTACATAGTGTGTTCTAGCCAACAGAACTATGTAATAAGACCCTGTCTCAAAAAAACAAAATGCTCTCTTGCCTCTATTAAGTGGACTGGTGAGTAAATCTAGAGAACATTCATTCTTTTGCTTTATCCATTTTGCACTATTCATGACCACCCCCACCCCCTTGTCTCTCTTCTTCTGGAAGTAGAATAATTATTTTTGCTTTCTAAGGCTAAGTCCCTTGGACCTACAGAGAACAGGAAAAAGAACAGCTTGTACAAAAGTCAGGAAACTTGAAAGAGGAAAGTTGTTTGAAAAACAGCAGATTCAGGGCTGTGGACAAAGGGCTTCAGAGTTAAATGGGCTTGGCTTGCGTGTGACACCTGCACTCACCACCTGAATAACCGTGGTTTTAACTCCCCTCCTGCGCTTAAATTCCTGGTATGTGCCTTGAGGGAAAGGCCAGCTACACTTTAGAGTTGGTGTGAGATTAAAGCATCATGTTGGGAACTCTGAAATGGTAGTTCACGTTGCTAAAATGGAGAGAAACTTAAGAGTATTTGTGTGCATTTCTGTCTCTTGCACAAGGTTAGTCCTACAAGGTTAGGAATTCTGCCCTTCATCTTGTATTTTAAACATTTAGATGTGTACCCAACACACAGAAAGTAATATACATTGAATGAGTGGGGAAGAGTCACTTTAAACTGATTGACGGGTAAATTAACTACTTTGCATTTCTAATGGCCAATTACTCCTGTTCCACTGCTTGCAAATACTGGCTTGATGAATTGATATGTATTCCTGTGTGTGCTTGAGTGTGGAAGCCCAACATGATGGCAGGTGGTACCTGAGATGCTCAGTGTGGAAGCCCAACATGATGGCAGGTGGCACCTGAGATGCTCAGTGTGGAAGCCCAACATGATGGCAGGTGGCACCTGAGATGCTCAGTGTGGAAGCCCAACATGATGGCAGGTGGCACCTGAGATGCTCAGTGTGGAAGCCCAACATGATGGCAGGTGGCACCTGAGATGCTCAGTGTGGAAGCCCAACATGATGGCAGGTGGCACCTGAGATGCTCAGTTCCTGATGTGTAGAGTCAGGCTCTCTAGCTGAACCCAGAGCCTGCCGTTTTTGGCTAGTTTGGCTGATCAGCTTACTCCAGGGAGTCCCTGTCTCTCACGTGGTGGGACTGCAGGCCCCTGACTTTTACTTGCTCCACACCCCAGTCCTGTGCTGTGGAGTGGTCATTTTACTCCCTGAGCCGTCTTTCAGCACCTGCGAATACTGATATCTCTATAACTTTGTGTTGTAGACGTGAGTGAAATTGAGAGTGCCTTTAACATGGTAATTAATTGGCTTTTCGGTTTTTGTTTTTTCCCTATCCAGGGAGGTGGTGCAAGCAAACTGTGTTCGCTGGAGAAAGAAGTTCTCATTTATGTGCAAAATGAGTGCCAGTGCCTCCACTGGCATCCTGGATCCTTGTATCTACAGAGTGTCTGTACGGAAGGTATAAAAATAGCCTATTATTCCTCCTCTTTCAGAAACCATAATTAGCTGCAGTCACTGACTCACTTTATTTAGATCTGCTCTAACGGTAGAACTGTAACTCCACACTTACAGCAATAAATTAAATTTCTATGGAAAATCTGGTGGCAAACCTGAGGTTGTCACTCAAGAATCAAAAAAACTTTCTTCTCAGAAATACTGTACATATGAGCGTTAACCGCATTTGGAGTCATTTGGGGTGTCCATGTCTGTAGCCTGTCATTTATCCATTCCTGCTCTTTACTTTTTTTAACTTTTTTAAAATAGTATTTTCATAAAATTCTTTGAAAATGCCATACGATGTATTTTGAGCATACTCAGATGCCTCCCCTAACTCTGCCACACATGCCCTTTCTACCTTCGCTGCCCTACCCACCTGGCGTTGAGTTTTCTTTTTATTTATTTTTTCAATCCAGTTCAGTGTGTATTGGCCAACTGCTCTGGGGAATGGGGCTTGCCCTGGAGTGTGGTGCCTCATTACAGAAAACTGACTGTCCCTCTCCCAGCAGCTATCAAATGCCAGTATCTCCCCAACCAGTCAGCTAGTAGTTGGACTTTTTTCCCCCACTCCCCCCTTCAAGGGCAAATTAGGGCCAGTCTAGGCTATGTCACATGACCCAGCCTTGAAAAATAAAAACCCAACTGTGCATTTTACATTTTATACACTTTTTTTTTTCCTGATTCTTTCTGAAACAGGCTCATTTTGTAGCTCAAGCCAGCCTGGAACTCACATGTAGCCTGGACTTGTCTCAAACTCAGGATCCTCCTTGCCTCTATCTCCCAAGTATTGGGATTACAGGCATGCCACCTTGCCCAGCTTTATATATTAATATATATATTAAGTTATCAGAGTACATGTATATGTTGGCAAAGATAAAGACTTAGAATGAGAAATGTAAGTCTTTTCGCTCTTTCCCACTCTGGTCCTGCATCTTTCTGTATCCGATTAAAAAGCTATATTCTTAGATTTGTTATCCCATGGTTTGAACGAATTGATAGCAGTATGATGTGCATGGCTTTATTCTAACCTTTTTATATTGCTTAATACACTCAGAATATAGTAAATACATGTATACAGAAATGATCTTACAGGTTTTTTTTTTTTATTAAAGATTTTTTTTTTTTATTTATTATGTACACAGAGGAGGGCGCCAGATCTCATTACAGATGGTTGTGAGCCACCATGTGGTTGCTAGGAATTGAACTCAGGACCCCTGGAAGAGCAGTTGGTGCTCTTAACCTCTGAGCCATCTCTCTAGCCCCGATCTTACAGTTTTTAAGACTTTGTGAAAATAGTTGTTTGGAGCAATCGTAACTGAGTGGAGGCTTCTGCAGAGGAAGTGTGGTACAGCAAGGGCAGACATGCAGTTATACCAGCCTGCCTTTGAGCCCCAAGCATGCCCCTTACCGACTGCGAGACCTTAGGCAATTATGACTTTAAATCTCTACATCCAAATAAGGCGTTATTCCCTGATTCTTCGGGAATGTAGAGATTAGCTGACAAAATGAAGCCAACTTCACTTTGCTGCTCTGACTGCTGCCGCCCTTCCATTGAAACCCTTCTGAATGGAGTTCTAATCATGATGTTTGAAGGACGATGAGCTAGTCTTTGGATTTTAAGGAAAAAATATATATATATAACCAGCTTAGAGTAAAGCCTGACTACAAATTAAATGAGCTCAAACTCTAGTAAAGCCGACAGAAACTGTAAGTACCAGTTGTGCTGGGTCATACCTCAAATAAACCCTTTCTCATTTTATAGGGCTTTGGCATATTCATTGGACATGTTTGCTTCCTTTTGCAGTGATAAACACCATGGCCAAACCAACTTGAGGGGGTTCCAGGTTTATTTAGTCTTACAGAGTACAGAGTGAAGAGAAGTCAGGGCAGGAACTAGAGGCAGGAACTGAAGCAGAAGCCATGGAGGAACTCTGCTTACTAGCTTGCTCCCTGTGGCTTGCTCAGCCTGCTTCCTTATACACCTCAGCCCAGGGGTGGCACCACCCACACACACACACATATATACATCAATCATTAATCAAGAAAATGCCCCTATAGGCCTATCTGTGGGCAATCTGATGGAGGTATTTTCCCAGTTGAGAAACTAACCAGCACAAAATATGTATGTTAAACTGCTAAAACAGACCCCAGAAGTCAAAGGCTTAAACAAAATGGTATAGAAGTTGCTTCGGAACCTGAGATAAAGATAGTAGCTCCGCCTTCTTTAGCATGTGGTTCCATCTTTAGATCTAAGGGGGCAGCTCCAGTCTTGTTCTCTCTTGACTAGTGACATAGGACAGACATGATACAAAAGTGGTACGTGTGTCTTTTGTATACATCCCTCTGGTTAAAACTTAGTTGTGTGGCCACACCAAACGGAAAGGCCATAGTTGGATGGCCAGTAGATTCCAACATGTCAGAAGAGAGGCTGGTAAATCACCAGTAGTCTTCTGTTGTACTTGAGTATGCAAGGCAGTATGTTATGCAAGTCTGTTCTACGTAACCTTCCCTAGGTATTGTATAAAGGAAAGAGCAGAGATCTCATCTATTTAAACATGTTGACCATTGTGGGGGCGGGGGGGGGAGTCATAAGCAAAGTCACAAACTACTTGTGAATCATGTCAAAAAAACTAATTAATATAGAAAGAACACCTCTACACAGTGTAAAAGAATCAACAGCACTTAGGAGAAGTTGACAGCTGACAATATGTCCCCCTGAAAAGAAAGTATTTCAGACATGCAATATACCCAATCTTAGGCAAATTAAAACTACAGATAGACACCATTTTTATCTACAGATCTGATAATGACCAGTTTGGTAGTGAGCCCTGTTGCCTAGACACAGGGAAGCAGTCACCAGTCAATATATCTGTTAGTGCCATCCATGTGCCACGTACTGCTCTGGCTTCTGGGAAGATAAATAACTGGAACAGAGTTCAGACCTCTTACATTTTACTTTCTGGTGAGAACTGGATAACAGAAAGCAGAGTTTATCAAATTAAACTCAGTTTAGTACCGATAAATGTCACACATAGAAAACCATGGGGAAACAGAGAATAATTTAGGAAAGAGCGATTGGCTTAGAAAATTGAGGAGACATCTCTGCTCTTTGCTTCCACCCCAGTATTGGGGTGACAGGCACATGTGGCCACACCTAGCTTTTTAAATGGTGCTGGACGTCTGAGCTATATAGGTCCTCATACTCGTACAACAAGCACTCTTTCCAACTCAGCTGTCTCCCCAGCACATTTTTGGTGGGTGGGTGGGTTGGTTGGTTGGTTGGTTTTTGGGACAGGGACCTCATGATCTTCCTGCCTCTCCCTCTCAAATGCAGAGAGTATAGATACACCACCATATCTGATTCATTGGGAGATTTTAATAAGGAGAATCATGATCTTTTATAAGACCATGCTGCTGCTGCTATGGTGGAAAAGTTGGCTTTAATATCTCAAAGTAGAAATGCTTAGGTTTAGGGGTAGTAGTTTTACACACAGATGGTCATTATTTTGGGCAACCAGATACCCAACTAAAAGTACAGGATTCTATTACATGGAAAGCAAGAGCAGATACTTAAGGTACAGCTAACGTTCTTTCTGCAGAAGCTAAATAAAGGCATGGATGCAGGAGAGGGGAGACGGGAGGAACAGCAGCCAGGGAAGCAGAAGGGCAATGAGGCAGATGTGGCATCAGGAAGGTCTAAAGAGGGAAGTGATGGGAGAAAGGAGGTAAGTGGGCAAGCCCATCACACACTGATGAGAGGCTAAGATGGAGACAGGGAGCTTTTAGCTTTAACAAAATAAAGATCATTAGGAATCTTGAGCTACTAGAGAAGGGAAAAGAGAACAAATCCAGTTGAAGAGGGTTGACTAGAACAGAATGCAGCAGGTAGAGGTTGAAGCCTTTTGAATGTTTTTTTTTTCAATTCTCTCATACATTACATCTGGACCTCAGTTTCCCCTCCCTCCACTCCTCCCAGTCCCCAGCGATCGGAAGTCTTTTGAATTTTGACCATAGAGGAACAGCAATGAAAATAATCCTGTTGAGGAGTGAAGGAACACCTCGAGGACTTTTCCTTGTGTTTAAGAATGGCACTGTTAAGGGATGTGAAGTGACCCAGTGAAGAAGACATTCTGATAATTCATATGGAATAGAAATGGCAGCAGGAAAGGGAAAGAGCAGCCGGCGTTCATAAGTAATAACAGAGCTCCCTGGAGAGTGTGTGCAAGATAGAAGTGGTAGATAACACTTCAGTATCAGACTTGCAAAATACAAGCAACAGTTCTCTCAGTAAAGATGTTTTTCAAGTGACGTTAGAGAAAGGAATTTTGTCCATGGTAATAGAAGGAAACCGAGTTCACAGTGTGGGCACACATTGTTCTAAGTGCTTACACTTAGTCCGCACAGATGTGCAAGGTCCTAAATTCAAAAATGTGGCCCAGAGCCCTGGCTGAGGGAAGCTGAGGCGAGATACTTGAGCTCCAGGAGCTCAAGGCCAGTGCTCACAATGTGAAGAGACTCCATATCAAAAACTGACGAAAGAAATAAAATTGGAAGCAAAGTAAAAATTTTGGTCGTTTTTAGGGTGTTGTTGTTGTTTGAATAGTTGGGTTTAAAATCAGCATATTTTTATTGTCTGTGACATATACTAGCATATAAATGTCTACTTTAGAATCCTTTGACTGACATTTAATCTTAAGTCCTTCCTTCATCATCTAATGTCCTCATGGTGTTTTCTGTATTTGCAGGAATTAAAAGGTGGCAAAGCTTATGCAAAGGTAAGTAGCTGTTCCCTAACTCTTTGTGATTTATAACGTTGCTATTGCAGTCTGTAGGCTTTTAGTTGTTACTCAACTGGACTCATTTTAAGTAAAGCAAATTGGAGATTGAATAATTGGGACAATAAAGTATTACAACATCCTTTTTGGGGTCTGGAGAAGGGCTCAATGGTGAGAAACACTGGCAGTTCTTCCAAAGGACCCAGGTTCTTTTCTAGCACACAAATGTGGCTGTAACTCTGTAACTCCCGTTCCAGAGGACCCAAACCCCCTCTTCTGGCCTCTTCAGGCACTGCATGCTCATGGTACACAGACATACATGCAGACAAAATAACCACACATATAAGGAAAATAAATGAATCTCTTCTTTAAAAAAAAAAAAAAAGAATATTCTGAGAGCTTGTTAGGGGCTGTTACCTTTTTGTCTTAGCCTCCCTGCTAGAGAATGTTCCCTGATTTTCATGAAGTTATAGCTTACTGATGACACAAAACAAGTAGACATGAGGTATTGCTGCTCCAGGATTGGTTAATCCACTGACTAAAGAATGTGGTCAGGAATCCATTATCCCCTTCCCTTCTGTAACGACCTTATTCTTGGTCAGCACTGCACCTGAACATCAGGTGTCTAGCTGCTCAAGGTTTTTTTTTTTTTTTCCAACACAATTCATATGCAGAAAACAAAAAACAAAACCCTAGCTGGTCTCTGGATGTTATTTTTGTTGAGTAAGAAAGCATTTCCTGGATGCTCTCAGAGGACTGCCCTATATGTTTTATTGAGTCTACCTGTACCACATATCCACCCCTAAGCGTCTGTGGCCATAGGAATGGATTGCTGTTGTTAAGTTAGACCGACAGCCAGTGTAGCCGTGTCAGGAGGATGAGTCCCTCTGTGTGCACAAGGATAAGTGAGGAGACTGGATCTCGGGGGAAAAGTGGAGTTTGGTGAGCAAGGCCTAGCAGGGCTCTGAGTGTTGGGCAGGCAAGCCGCAAGGTCTACTGTTGCTGGTAACGTCATAATTCTCTCTCTTCTAAGAGCTCTTAAAACCATATTCTCTCACCTTTTGTGAGACTGCTTCCTACTAGTAGTTATGTCTGCATTGTTTTCTGTTGACGCCCCTTTGGCCTCCTGCTTAGTCTGTTCTCTCTGTTGTCTAACTCCGTCTTCCTTAGTCCTGCCAGAGTGATCTTTCTAAAGTCAAAACATGATCCTACCATTCCGCACTAACTCCATCTTCCTTAGTCCTGCCAGAGTCATCTTTCTAAAGTCAAAACATGATCCTACCATTCCGCACTAACTCCATCTTCCTTAGTCCTGCCAGAGTCATCTTTCTAAAGTCAAAACATGATCCTACCATTCCGCACTAACTCCATCTTCCTTAGTCCTGCCAGAGTCATCTTTCTAAAGTCAAAACATGATCCTACCATTCCGCACTAACTCCATCTTCCTTAGTCCTGCCAGAGTGATCTTTCTAAAGTCAAAACATGATCCTACCATTCCGCACTAACTCCATCTTCCTTAGTCCTGCCAGAGTGATCTTTCTAAAGTCAAAACATGATCCTACCATTCCCCACTTTCAGGCCTTCAGTAGTTATTCGTTGACTTTAAAGGAAATTGGAAATTCTGTAAGCTAATAAGTAGGATCCAGTTTTGTCCACAGACCGTTTCTGCCGCCTCATCTCCTCTGCCTGCCGTCTGTGTTCTCTCTGCTTCTCTCTTTTCTCTCCCAGCCCTCGTTCTTATGAGGTCCAGTGCCATCACACACTTCCTACAGCATCTCGGGCTATTTCAGCTTCTTTGCCTGGTGACTTGACACCATGCATGTGTCCCTCTCTCCCATGTCCTTTCCACTCCTGTGTCGTTAACGATGCAGCTTAGTCCTGCCTTCCCACTGCGGACTCCTCCTCTCTTGTAATTGTGTCTTCCTTTGCCACAGCACTTTCAGGCAGTACTATAGGAATTGGCTTTCTGTTTTCCCACATTAAACTATGAAAACAAGACTGAAGGACCCAAGGGTAGCTCAGGGCAGAGCATGAAATAAGCCCTAGGTTCCGTCCACAGCACCAAAAAAGGAAATACATTCTATATTCCTAATGTCTACCACAAATGTGGTATATATGTATGACATATTTATGAGACACATATATGAAACACATACACATATAGATATTCATGTGACAGTTATCTTGGTGAAGCCAAAGAAAGTCTTAAGGAAATATGGATTCTCTGGCACCATGCTATAAAGTCTGTAATGTGAATTCTTTGAAGACAGAACACGTTTCCTGTCCCTTATTGTTCTCCTGTGTCTACATAAGAGTCTGGCACATAAAAGGTACATTGGTATGTCACTTTCTTAACAGGGACTGTCTTATTTGGTTTTTTGCTACTATACCAAAGTACAACAGACTGTATGATATAAACAAAATACATTTAGTTGTCAGTATTTTAGATGCTGAGAAGTCTAAAGTCATGATACCAGCAGATCCTGTGTCTGGAGAGCCTACTTTCTGGTTTGCAGATGACAGACTTCTCAATATGTCACCATGTGGCAGATTACAGAGCAAGGGTGCAAGTTCTCTCCTATGTTAACAGTGCATTCATCCAGACCTCAGTGTACAGCTCGGCGGTAGAGCACATACTGAGACATGTGCAAGGCCCTGGGTTTGGTCCCCAGTGACAAAAGGGGAGATATGCATTAATCCATTCATGAGGGCTTCAGTCTCAAGGCCTGATTACCTCCCAAAGCCCCCACCACTCCATACCATCCTATTGGGTGCTAGATTTTCAACATATGAATTCTGGAGGAGCAGAAGCATGGAATCCATACCAGAAATCCTTAGCGACAACATAAAACTAGTGTTGCAACAGTAGATGCTAAGTTAGTGGGCAGCTAGCCTTTATTTCATAAGACTCCTTTATTAGCATTTGAACCTTGATGTCAATAGAACTGAAAAGTACTGGATTGTCTAAGAGAGTGAGTTCAAGAGCATTAATGTCCTTGAGTTGACTTTGGCTCTGGCTAGCAGAGTTAAGGGATGAACTGGGAAGGAGGAAGTTAATTTGGCCAAATGGTCAGAGAAGGCATAAACAATAATCTGGAGAGCGTGGGACAGGTTTGGTTGGTTCCTTCTGACAGGAGAAAATCCAGCATGTTTGTGCGCTGGTGGGAATGGCCTAGTACAGAAGGGGTAAATCCGAGTGCCAGACGGGGGGAAATCTACAACATAAACATGGTAGGCAAGAGGCCGCAGGAACACAGGCGTACCATCCGCAGTATGGGAGTGGGAAGGCAGTACAGGCCCAGGCTCAGCGGCAAAGTGGCTGCGTCTGGCAGCGAGAGCTTATGGAAGTTAAGTGCTCTTGACCGCCCTTACTTCCTGAGTGAAAGGCAGCAAGGCCATCAGCAGGGGCGTGAAACGGGAGGAAGTGCTGGAGCTTTAAAGGGGAGAGACTGTATGGAATGGCATGTGTTGATAACAGATGATCACGTAAGTCACCCGTGTCTTCACATGCTCACTCAAATGTGTCTTGGCATGGACCTCCCCTGGCCTCCCTCCTGTGCTGCTCCACTAAAAGGCAGTAAGACCGGACTGACTGTGAAAACTAGGCAGCGGTTGCGGGTGTCTTGCTGTGCGCCTGACTTGCTACGTTGGGCTCACATAATTCACTGAGCCATTGTCTTTACTCTTTCCTCCCAGTTAAAAACTACTGAAATAGCAGGAGCAGGGCTGTCTCTGACTCTGCTGCCTGCTCTTGGAACCCATCCCTCCTACTGTGTTGCCTCATCCAGCCTTAATAGGAGAGGAAGGGCCTGGTCTCGCTACAACTTGACACACCATGTTTGGTGGATGTCCATGGGAGGCCTGCCCTTTTCTGAAGAGAAATGGAGGAGGAGGAGATGGGGAGGGGGATGACTAGGAGGAATGGAGGGAGGGGAAACTGTGTTTGGGGTGTAAAAACAAAACAATTAATAATTAATTTTAAAAAAACCTCTGAAATAATGCTCCAGTGTGCAATTAAAGCCATCGTTTTGCATGCCCCTGAAAGTGGCCTAGAGAGATGGCTCATGTGGACAAAGCTGGCTGCACAAGTGTAAAAACCTGAGTTTAGAGCCTCGGAATGTGTAAACCCGGAATATCTGTGCTACAGTGAGCTGGGCCGTGAAGACAAGAGAATCCCTGCAGGCCAGCTAGCCTGGCACATACAGTAGAGCGGAGACAACAAAGAGACCCTGCCTCTAACACGGTGGAAAGTGAGGACCAAAGCCTGAGCTTGTCCTCTGACCTCTGCACATTTGCTGTTGGATGTGCATTCCTATGCATACACATACATACATATACATTATACACACACACACACACACACACACACAAAAACCTTGAAGCAAACAACCTCAGCAATGTTTGAAACATATCATACAGTTTATTAATGTTCATAGAGATGTGCTTAATTCACTTTTATTTTGTTCATAACAATGGTACCAGGAAATGGCATTTCTGGGTAGTAGTGTGGAAGAGGAACAAGTTTAAACTGAACTTCCTGGGAGGAGCAGAGAGGGTAGGTGTGAGACAGAACCGTGAGCAAGGGAAGCAGCTTCCATGAGGAGACTCAGCTGAAGGCGGATTGGCAGGAAGGGCGAGAGGAAAAGGTGCCCCTACTCAAGAATCGAGGAGGCTCACTTGAGTCCTCTCGTGAGTGCGGGGAGAGTGAGAACTTAACCTGTCAGGAGCTGCCGTCCCCCGTGGCTAACTCAGCACAGGGAGGATCCAGAATAGCGGAGCCAGAGTCTCTACCGCTGCACATGAGCACGACCGCTTGTTCTCCCCACATGCGATGGGAGTGTAGGTGTTACATGTGATGGGAGTGTAGGTGTTACTGTGAATGATTTTGCTTTTCCATGTGCCTTAGTTTTACTAGCACAGTCCTATGTTCACTTTAACGCGTACAGAAATGTATTCAGCACAGCCCATCAAATCCATGATAAAAGATGAGATAAGTAATCGATTTTTATTAAAAAGCAACTAAATTAAGGACCCGTGTAAAGAAAATGGCAAAGCAGGTCGTAGTAAGACGACAAGAACTGAGAGCTTTGAGAAAACTCGTGGTTGAGTGTCTATTTCAAGAAGATATGATAGAGCCTGCTAGATAGTCTATTAATATGATTCTCTTTCTTTTCATAGCTGGGCTTTGCAGATCTAAACCTGGCGGAGTTTGCTGGATCAGGAAATACCACCCGTCGCTGTTTACTGGAAGGCTATGATACCAAAAATACAAGACAGGACAATTCCATTCTTAAAGTAAGCACTCTTCAAGACTTCCATGCCAATAAAAGAGATTTTTCTGCCTCCAGCTAAGCACAGGTATCTGTTGTCATAGATACAATGGGACTCCATACTGAGGTCATGAGCCTCCACACCACCAGGGAAAGACCCTTCCAAGCCATAGGAGCCGTGAAAATTAATGATCATCTTTATGGTCCAGTGTGTTTCTCATCGGTGCTGTGAACAAATACACCACCACTGCTACAGAAGTGATTGCTGGGGAGAGGGGACATGATGGTTAGATGCGCGGCTTAAAATCCGTACAGCTATCGGGGCCAGAAAGCTGGCGGCTTAGTAGTTAGGAACACTTGCTGTACAAGCCTGAAGAGCTGAGTTCAGATCCCAGTACATGTAAGAAGCCAGAGCTAGTTCTGCTCGCGCTTATAACCCCAGTGATGTGGGGAGTGGAGACAGAAAGTTCGCTAATGCTTGCTGGCTGTCAACCTAGCTGTAAAATGCAAGCTCCGGGCTCAAGGAGAGACCTTGCCACAAAGGAATAAGGCTGAAAATGATAGGACCTCTGATGCCCTCCTGTGGGTATTGTGTTTGCACTGGTTGTGTATACACTGACACACACATTTGCCCCCATGCACGCGCACACACACACCCCTCTCAGGAGAACTTCCAGAGAAGCTGTGATGTGTATGTAGAAGTCACTGGCTTCTCTTGTAACTAGTGAAGAGACAGGACAGGCAGACCCACTCATGGACATGTGCCTTATTTTTCCAAATCTCATCGGGGCCATGTGTTCAGGTCATCACAGAGAACGCATGCTTCATGAAGTTGATAGAAATATCAAATGAGATCCATTGGGAAAATATTCAGAAAATGTCTTGTACCTAGGAGAATCTTTGCTACATTTTACTTAATTAGTAAGTTACCTAAGAAGAAGAAAGACAGATTTAAAAAACAAGTGGTTTTCATTCTGAAGTTAGGAAAGTAAAGAATTACTTTAAAACTATAGCTTAAATTTGTTTTCAGAGAACATTTTACTCTGGAGATAGAGAATTTATGAACTGGTTCTTAGAGGCAGACATCCCTTGCACACAGCAGCAGCTTTAAGAAAGGTGGGATGGGCATTGATGTGGAGAGGACAATGATAAAGAAGATGAGGAAATGTCAGGTATGGTAGTACACACCTATGATCATAGCATTTTGGAGATGGAGGCAGGGATGATCAGAGGTTCAAGGCCAGCCTTAGATATACGAGACCCTGTCTCAAAAACCAAGGTAGGAGCCAGGCACTGATGGCACTTGCCTTTAATCCCAGCACTCAGGAGACAGAGGCAGGCAGATCTCTGTGAGTTCGAGGCCAGCCTGGTCTACTGAGTTCCAGGACAGCCAGGGCTACACAGACAAACTGTGTCTCAAAAAACCAAAACAAGCAAACCAAGGGAGGAAATTAAAAGAGCATCATCCTATGACCTTCAAGTTGATTTGATTTTGTTTTTATATACCTCTGAAAATATCTCAGGGCACTTGCACATATCCCCATACCATGAGGTCTAGATAGATGGTTTCTTAGTTAGGGTTTCTATTGCTGTGAAGAGACACCATGATCATGACAACTCTTATAAAAGAAAACATTTAATTGGGGTGGCTTACAGTTTAAAAGGTTTAGTCCATTATCATCATGGTGGGACATGGTAGCATGCAGGCAGACATGGTGCTGGAGAAGGAGCTGAGAGTTCTACATCTTGATTCACAGACAGCAAAAGGAGACCGTCACACTGGCCAGACTTGAGCTTATAAGGCCTCAAAGCCTGCCTTCACAGTGACACACTCCCTCCAACAAGGCCACACCTAATAGTGCCACTCCCTATGGGCCAAGCATTCAAACACATGAGTTTATGGGGGCCACCACAGATAAAAATCCATGTTTTATAATGAGTCTCAGAAGGCTAGGTGTTTTTCTGTAAGAGAAGTAGTGAATGACAGAGCTGAGACCAGCATGCATATCTGCTGTTCCGTGGCTTTTTCACATTATCATGCCCTCTAACCCCAGTCTCAAAACCCACTGACTATACTGTTCATTATATATTTCTTACATTAAAAAACAAATAACCCATGCTGCTTTTGTGTGCATGCTTGTGTGTGTGTGTGTGTGTGTGTGTGTGTGTGTGTGTGTGTCCCCTCTTCTTTGTGACAAATGCTTTACCCATCAAGTCATATCCCCCTGAAATAGCTTTTTAATTTTAGGTGGTTTCCTCTCTCCTACCACCATGTCCTGTGTTCCCAGCCCTCTCTGTCATCTCACACAGCTGTCTTCAACCCTCCCCCTTTCCCATGATCTGCCAGGCCTCACTTGCTTCTGCCTCCCCCTTACGTAGCTTAGAGTGCACAGTTCATGATTATCCTACTTGATATCCTACCCCGGGTCCCTTTGCCTGTTGCTGTCCCTGAAGATCTCCAGTCCCACTTGGTTTGACTCTATGTCCTCCCTGAGTCTGTGTCCTGAGCTGGACATTTCTGGAGGACACACAGATGAGTGGGCATTACTGAAATCGGGCTCACCTCCAGCTGGCAGCCATACTCTGCCTCCTGTCTCAATTTAGATAGTCGCCTCCCTGCCTTTTTTCTCAATGTATTTTCATACCCCGTGTTTTACCTCGACTAAGCTTCTCCTTCATTGAAGAAATAGAACTCATTAAACTCACATCCCCTTATCATCTCAGCATAGAACTTACAGTTCTTCTTGTCTCCCCTGTTACTGCAGTGCATGGCTGCTGCCTTGCCCATGGTTACAGGGAAGACATGACCCTCCTCCTGTAAGAAGTGAGTCCTTCCTCTTGGGCTCTAGAATCCACACAAGCATAATCAAAGACTTTTCTCTTGGATCATCTGCTCTTGGTCAACCCTCCCTTTAATGAACCATCCTTGTCAACATCCAAAGAAACAGCTGCGGTGTCCCCATCTTATCATATCTGAACAGAGCTCAGCCTCCCACCTCTCATCTCTGTCCCACTTCTCTGTTCTGCCTCACTACACAATTTCTTCCATCCTGAGACGTTCAGATAGTCCCAAGTGCTGTCCTGGAGCGTTAGAAACCAGACTGGAGGATTGCATGAAAGAAGACGCAATAAGAGAACCAGCACAACAGGATAGGGCTGAGAGTTAAGGAAAAAATAAAGTAAAAAGGGACGATAGTGGAGGTCCTGGGTAAAGAGGTATGAATGAATAAGGTTGTAAAAGATGCCTGTCAAACATTAGCTGGAAAATGTGCCATGACCTGTATGTGTCCTGTTGGTCATTAAGACTATGAACTCAGTAAGCATGGTCCTGGGTTCTGCCCTATGCCAGCTGTGATTCAGAAACTATCCCCCAATCTCTGTGGTCTCAAAAGGAGAATGTGACTCTCTCATGGGAGTGTTAAAGATGAAATGAGATGATGTGGACAGGACATGTAGCTTATATCTGGAACATAAGTTCCCAAATCCAGCCAAGTGTGGTGGTGCATGTGTATAATGAGATGATGTGTATAGAACATGTAGCTTATATCTGGAACATAAGTTCCCAAATCCAGCCAAGTGTGGTGGTGCATGTGTATAATGAGATGATGTGTATAGAACATGTAGCTTATATCTGGAACATAAGTTCCCAAATCCAGCCAAGTGTGGTGGTACATGTGTATAATGAGATGATGTGTACAGAACATGTGTTTATATCTGGAACATAAGTTCCCAAATCCAGCCAAGTAGGGGCTTAATGTGTATAACCCCAGCACTTAGGAGGCTGAGGCAGGAAGATCTTAAGTTTGAGGTTATCCTTGGCTACAAAGCAAGTTTGAAGGTAGCCTGGAATACTGAGATTCTCTCAAAGAGCCAAAACAAAATAAATTCTCAAGTCACTATCATTGTGAATGTCATTATTATTATTATTCCCATAAGAATGTGAATTTGGGGCTGGGACTATTGCCTGGTTGGTAGGAAGCCTGCCTAGCATACACAGAGCCCTGGGTTCAATCCCCAGCACCACATAAAGGGTATGGTGGCACATGCCTGGGATTGTAGCACTCAGGAAGGAGGAAAGGACGAAGTTTAAGACCACCCTATGACACACAGTGAATTCGAGGCCAGACTCCCTCAGGGAAAAAAAAAAAGTGGGATTGTCCTGTGGTGGATTCTTACAAGTTCCTTAGCAACCAGGGAATATCAACGTCTTAGAAGGAAACAGCCAAAGCTGGTGCCGAGGCGCTCTGCCCTTCAGAGCCCTGAGCAGATATCCCATGAAGCCTCCGCCTGTGGAGCCGGAGGGCCTGGTTATCAAATGTTTACACCCCACAGGAATCTGGAGTAAACACAGACACATGCCAAGCAAGAGGTATCACTGGGGAAGTGCTTACTTTTTATTTTTATCTTTTCCACGAGGTTTTGAACATTAAAGATGATTTTTAATCCTTGTCTGCATAAAGCAGTAATTGAATGTTGGGCACACCCTCATTAAACACTCATTTCACTTAATGCTTTCTAGATAGAAAATATAAATAAGACTGGTTGTCACGGGGGAAGTACGGATTAGCAAAAGCTGGCCTCTCGAGAAGTCTTTTGTAATTGTGGCATTTGTTGCTCTTTTGTTTAGGTTTTGATCAGTATGCAGCTGATGTCTGGTGACCCATGCTTTAAAACGTAAGTTGATAACCAGTAAATGGATTATTTATCTGCAAGCATGATACAAACTGAAGCAGATTTGTAGGCACACAGTTCCTTTCGTGGTGGACTGAGCATTGTAGAAGTGACTGTTTCCTGTTGCCAGGTGAGCTTTCCACTCTCAAAATGATGCAAGTTACAGATCGTTTGCCGTCTTTGGGTTTTCAGGTTTAAGGTGGCATTGTACAAATAAGGTTTATATTGCTATTTCCTTACTCACTTCTTTAACAGTACCTGTCTTAGGGTGTGTGGGACTGCATTCTAACTTCAGAAACAGCAGCGAGCAGAAGACATTGCTTTCTGCCACCCTAGGGCTTATACTGTAAGAAACCACCAAGTCCTGATAAACAGAAAAGGAGCCTGGGAATAGAGGCTCTGATGAGGAGTGGCAGGGGGTGGGGGGATGCCGTAAAGAGCTTTGCTGTTTTATGTCGAATTTCAGGGGAGGCCTCCCTGCTTAAGATGACATTTGAGTAGAGACTTGAAGCCACATGGATATTTGGGGAAAGAGTGTTCAAGGTGGAGGGACTATGGAACAAAGCCTGGAGAGGGTCCTGTTCCCTGCGTGCTCAAGTAACTGCCCGGAGACCCACAAATCTAGCGCAGAGGGAGTGAGGAGCTCAGTAATAGGAGATGTGGTCAGATGGTCATCTTGTGGACCATTAGAATAAGGACTCCGCTTACCTTCTGAGGAAGACAAAAGGCTGCAGAGCTTTCGGGTGAAAAGCAAATGCTCTTATTACGATGCAAGGTAGAAACGAGACAACCCGAGGGAGCCGTGACGGGAACAAGGACGGAAGAGGTAGATTGTGTGACCGTTTCATTAGTTAACGTTTCTCTCCTGAGAACTCACAAGAGCCGCAGTTCAGAGCTCAGATGTAAGACACAACAAAACCCACGTCTAAAAAAAGAATTTGTAAAGCATTCTGGTGTGATCCAAATTCTTACCTTACAAATGAGGGAACTGAGACAGAGCAGTCACCTTGGCCAAGTATGTCTGGGTGGAGCCAACGGTAAGTAGCTACAGATGCATGCCTGCTCTGCTGGATGCCCCTTGACGTGGGAGATGTGCACACAGCACATGATGTGACAGGGGCAGAGAGCAGATTGCCTCTAACCACCACCATTCCTTGAAAGCCAGAAAGTGCTCCCTGAGGGGGTGGTACTGGGATAAGTCGTGATGGTGAATAAGAATGGACTAAGCTTGGAAGGCAAGTAGAGACATTCCAGGAAGAGAAAACCGTGTGCACACACACAGGGCATTGTTATGGTGCACGGGGTAATGATGTCATTTTAGGAGGTCATTCTTCACAGACTCTGAACATTACTTTAAAATTAAAATAATCCCCATTTCTTTAATCTGCAACTGTGCTGTATCAAGGGATCCTGACAAAGACTATTATACATTTTTTAACAAAAGGCGTAATAGAACAGAGCCAGCACACAGTGGGCCCTCGGGGGTTGGTCACTGAACTGTGCTGCCCTGGGTGACAGAAGTGCAGCAGCCTAGTTAAGATTTCAGATTCGAAGTCTGCTGTACTAACAGCCCGTGGTCAGCTTGTCCTGTCTGAATGCTGGTGGCCCCTGCCTTAGAGCACTCAGCAGGAGCCACTCAGGCTCTCTGAGACAGCAGGACGGAAGTGCCAAATTCATGTAGTGTTGGATGCGTTGTGCCTGTAGTCACCTGTGGAAGGGAAGACGACTAGCATTTAAGAGTCGAGGCTTGCAGACACCGGCCAGCCACTGGTGCTTTATGACTGTTATTATAGACTCCATTCTTTGCATGAATCTTTTATATATGTTTACTGTGAAATATTCAATGGCGTTTTGTTTTGTTTTTTAACCAAGTTTTTTATGTTATTCAGACATGTAACTCAGCTAGGCCTGGTGGTACAAGCCTGTAATCCTAGCATTCAGAAAACTGTGACAGGAGGCTCTTCATGAGTTCAAGGCCTGTCTAGGCTACATACAGATTACCAAGCCAGCCAGGGCTACAGAGCGAGATCATGTCTCAAAAATATGTGCCCCCACCCCAGCCGGGCGGTGGTGGTACACGCCTTTAATCCTGGCACTCGGGAGACAGAGTCAGGTGGATCTCTGTGAGTTCGAGGCCAGCCTGGTCTACAGAGCGAGATCCAAGACAGGCACCAAAACTACACAGAGAAACCCTGTCTCAAAAAAACCAATATATATATATATCTCCATCCATCCCCCAAAATATCACAACAAAAGTCCAAATACAAGTATTGGTAATTAAAGAGGTTGGTCTAAAACAGACTGTGAAAAGCCTTGGGAGTCATGTGAGGAGCTGAAGCTTTGTCCCAAAGGTGCTTTTGAAGGGTTTGCCTTGGCTGTAAGATAGATAAGCTTGTATAGCCCAGGTTAGTATACAGCTTGCTATGTGCCCAAGGATGATCTTGAACTTCTGGTCCTCCTGCCTTGACCTCCTGAGTGCTGAAATTATAGGACTGTGACACCACATTGGATTCTCCCCCCCCCCCCCCCCCCCGCCCAGTATTTTGTTGTATAAAAGCCTTTTTTCCACAGGCGGGAGAGGTAACTCAGTGGTTAAGAGCACCTGCTGCTCTTGCAGAGGACCAAAGTTCAGTCCCCAGCACCCACATCAGGTGGCTCACATTCATCTGTAACTCCAGCTCCATGGGGTCCACCACCCTCTTTCGGTCTCTGCAGACACCTGCACATGTGTGCATGCACACACTTGTACATAGATAAAAATAAAACCTTTATATAAAAATCTCTCCCACATTTATTATTCGGGATTTTAGTGCTCTAAAAGATGCTTATGGATTATTTAATGGTTTTTATTTCATCCTCAAAAGGCTAACTCTAATAAACAGCTTTCTCAGGCCAGGCACTGACCACACAATGACTCTCTAACACTAGTTCAAACCTGCAGGCTCACACATGATTCAAGATCTTTCTGTTTACAGGCCTCCCTCCACGTCCATGTCAATACCCATCGCTGGGGAATCCGAGTCTCTGGAAGAGGATAGAAAAGGCGGGGAGACCCTCAAGGTGCATCTCGGAATAGCAGGTATGGGTATATAGCTTCCTGGCCCTTTACTTTCTGGAAAACAATTCTATTTAATTTCCTAATAGATTCCTAAACCCTGAGGGGCTGTCAGGATGGCTCAGCAGGTCAAGGTGCTTGCCGCCAAGCCTGATGACCAGCGTTTAACCCTTGGAATCCACACAGTATGCATGTCCACACACATACACAAAAATAAATAAATGGATGGGGAAAAAAAAGTCCTACAACCACCCACATGTAAATTTGTATGCACTCATGACTTGAAATGGGCCGGTTAGTATGGTGCTCCAACCAGGACTTATTTGTCTAGGGTCATGTGCACTGACAGTGACAGCTGAATGTTGTGCTAACTAACACTGCCTCTCGCTGCCTCTCGCTGGCTGCATCCTCTCCTCACAAGCACGGGACCCTCCCATTTTCCCCACCTCTCCCTCCAGCTGGGCCCATTCTCCCACCAGCTCTTTGCTGCTGCTGCTCCTCCTCCTCTTTCCCTGCTTGCTGCTTCTCAAGCCTCACTGTGCATTTGATTTACCTGGGGGTGGAGGGTGTTAAAACACCCCACTAGCCGGTTTTGGCCTTGGTGGATCCTCGTGGGTGCCTGAGACTTTATGATACACACCAGTTCAGCTCCTCTGTTGCTGCTGCTGGTCCCCGAGCACACTTTGAGATCCACTTCCCTAGACAGTCTTCCAGCCCAGGCAGAAGCCACTGTGGTTGCTAAAAGCAGGGGAGGCAGCGTGCCAACCTGGCTGCAGGGAAGGGACCTGAGAGTTTCCTTCTAGCTCCCAAATGATGGGAGCAGGGTGTATTGTTGGAAAGAAAGGTGACACGCTAGGATTAACATTTTCACTACCTTCTCAAATGTGCAGCGAGAGGGTTTCTCCTAAGTAATTGTGAGTATGGATTTCTTGATTTAGGATCAGCTGATCTTATGGATACTGTTAATCTTTCCATTAAATCCTCCCTCGGCACTTAAATGTCCTGAGCTGCTATCTAGCTGAGAAAATATAGAGTAGACCCCATCATCCTCCTCATAGGATAATATCTGTCTTCCTATCTTCTGCTGCCCTCTAGACTCCAGCAGTCCCAGTGTCAGATAGATAGACAGACAGGCAAGCAGCCAGACAGACCTGGAGAAGTCTCAACAAGAGAATACATATTTGAGGCATGCATCACAGTTATGCAGACAAACTTCTAGAAAGCAATACCGCCTGGATTCATCACCGCACTTGCTGTGACGGAAGAACTTGAAGGATGCTTGGGCTCGCAGTTCCAGGATGCAGTCCGTCCCTGTGGGGAAGTCACGGTGGGGTGGGAGGTATCTGGTCACCTCGCGCCCACAGTCAGGAGACAGAGAAAGAGAAACACTCGTGTCCAGCTGCTTCCTCTTTCCCTTTCTCCTTCAGTCCGGGACCTCAGCTCAGGGAATGGCTCTGCTCACATTCAGGGTGGGTTTTCACCCTTCGGTTAACCCTCTCTCTGGAAACACCCTCACAGACACGCCCAGACGCGGGTCCCTTGGGTGACTAGATTTACAGTGAGAGTTAGCCATCACAGGGCCCGTTTATTGTTAAACTCCTGTGCCGTCTGCTTTGTGTCCTGTCCTGATGTCTACCGTTACATGGTCGCCGACTCCTTTGGCCGTTTTTCCTGCTCTCATCTGACTCAGCCACTGATTCTTCCTTGAAGTCTTCTCTCCCTTTGACGCCTACCTTCATGACCTTTCCTCTCCTGCTTCTCAGGGATTTCTTGAGCAAGCAAGGTGGTTCAGTGAGTAAAGATGCTTGCTGCCCATCCTGATGACCCGAGTTCAGTCCCCAGGACCCACTGGTAGAAGCAGATGTTTGCCACCAGCCGGTTAGCTAGTTGTCATCTGGCCTGGCCTCCACGTGTATGCTGGGTGACACACGTGTATGCGTGTGTACGCACACGTGCACACACACATGCACACACACTTAAATACGTAGATAAATCAATGTAAAGAGTTGTGGTTTGTTTTTTTTTTAAGCCTAGAATCTGTTAGTAATTGATGGCTCCTGGGGGAGGGCGGGTAAGTTTTCTTCAGGGGTGTGGCCCCTCAGAGGCCACCCGTGCTCCAGTAGATGGTCCTGCACTCATGCACAGAGAGGCAGCACTAGTGGATTCAGTGAACTTAAGAACAGAGCCCGTTAAGTTGGTAGGGGAAAGTGAGAGAGATGTGCAAGAGAAATTGGAGAGGAGGGAGTAGATGGTGAATTGGAGAGGAGGGAGTAGATGGTGAATCGGAACAAAGCACATCATATGCATGCATGAAATTCTCAAATAATAACAAAAAATTAAAAAGAGCCTTCCTAAAGTGCCGGAGCTGTAGCTGTGATACAGAACACTTGCCTGTGTGCTTGAGCCCTGGGTCTAGTCCCCAGTCCTTCAAAAACAGAAACTAAGGCATGAAAACACCCCGACTCCTCTCCAGGGTTGCTATTCCACGGGGGCTTGGTCCCGTCTACTTAGTTTTCTGGGCAATGTCATCTACACCCCTGTATTTAACAGTCTCATAAATGTAATGCGGTTGTATAAATGTGTGTTAAATACTTTCCATTCACAAATTTGTGTTTCCAAATGTTTTGGGGAAGGTCCGCTTCACGCCACGCATCGTTACTGAAATCTATAAGCTCATCTTTCTCCCCAGCCAGACCTTGGGTTCTTTGTGATCAGGTCTTGATATCCCAGAGACCAGGGACAGGTCAGAATATGATGAGTATTGATTGTCAACTTCACATTCTCAGTGCAGCTTCGCCCAACTCTTTCTCCTACTGTTCGGGTATCCTGGCACAAACTTCTGCTCAGTAGTTGAATCCCGCCCTTTGTGCTAAACGCCTCTCACTCTCAGCTGGCTTATAATCAAAACCTTTGCTCTTCACCCCAACCTGCTTCTCCCTTTACTAAAGTGATCTTCACACCGTGTAGCCTGCAGTGGCCCGCCCTGGCATGAAGTCACTGAAGTATCACTGAAAGTATCTTTCGTTCAGCTCCCAGAAAGGTCTTCATCAGCTGGTCTGTGCTCAAGTCCTCAGTCTCTTTTCCCATTGGTCATCTCCCACTGCTCTGTGTGCCGACTTCACCAAACCATTTGCTGATCGACAAGCTTGCTGTGCCCTATGCTCCTCCCCCCTCAGCGAGCTGAAAGACTCCTACGCTTGCAGACCCTGGGCCAGCCTCCGCTCTGAGGTCTCCTCCCCTGTAGTATTGTGTGCACTGGCCTTTGGAGTTCTTACTACCTTCTTTGGTTAATGCTGGACACACTGTATTCTCTTTGCTTCTGTCTCCGAATTCAGAGCATGTTTTATCTCTCTTTGTGTCCCCAATGCCTCCGTTTCATCTATACCACAGATGCTGATTTGATCAGAGCTTAATAAACTTTTATATGGATTGGATGCATTTTGGAAACCAGGAGACAGGTGGCTGAGTTCTGAGCCAAACACTGGGGTAGACTTTTGGGTGTCCAGGAATCCCTATGAACTGTCTCCTGGCGAGGGTTTTGTTGGAGCTAGCCTTTGGTTTAGGGCTGATGTCGAGGGAGATACTTGGGACCCTTGCAGTCTGTCTGGACATGAGCAGTCCTTGCAGGGGACCAGTAGCTTGCGTGCTTGGCAGCATTTGCTGGCCCGACTGTTACACCATCTGTCTCGTTGAGAGAACTGCCGCTGTGGTAACTGTCACACTCAGCTGCTTTTCTTCTGCTCCTAGGTTAGCAACCGTTCTGGTTTCCAAGTGGTTTACACTAATGCTCAACAGTCACAGTCCTGTCTTCTGTGCGGAAAGGCTGGTTCTACAAATACGTAACTGCTATCTAGTCTATGAACGTGATTAGGGAGCTTCTAGAAACAGTGTTGGGACTGCTTTGTCTACTTACTTTCAAGCTATGTACTATCATCAGTTTCTTTTCTTTTACTCTGTTTCTGAGATTTTATTGATTTTATTTTTACTGTGTGGGTGTTTTGTCTGTATGTCTGTCTGTGCACATTGTACCAATCTGAAGGAATCTATCACTTTACAATGCATTTTCCTTGATTATGAACTTGCGAATTAATAAGATCTGTGGGTTAAAGTACAAATTGGACATTGACTTGTTATAGTAACATCATGTGACCTGTTGCAGATCTTTCAGCAAAGAGTGCCTCTGTTCCAGATGAACTTGGTGCCTGGGGACATTCTAGAACATCAAGCTATGCAAGCCAGCAGTCCAAAGTATCAGGTAGAGGCCCCCAGTGGGATTCAACTCCTTATTGTTCTAGATCACTGGTTCTCAACCTCCCTAATGCTGTGACCCTTTAATACAGTTCCCTGAGTGGTGGTGACCCTCAACCATAACATTATTTTCGTTGCTACATAAGTGTAATTTTGCCACTGTTATGAACCGTAATGTAAATATTTTTGGAGATAGATGTTTGCCAAAGAGATTGTGAGGCACAGGTTGAGAACCACTGTTCTTAAGGGATTTGAAGCCAAGTGGGGTGGTACACACCTGTTATCCCAGCAAAGGGGAGGCTGGGAGAGAAGGATGGCAAGTTCAAGACCAGCCTCTGCTTGCTGTATAGCAGGTGCCTGTCCCAAACAAAATAAAATCCAGTAATAAACTTGAAGTTACTCTGGTGGGGGATGAAAAAAATTGCACCTCGGAGATGATAGATGGTTCAGTAAAGTGTTAGTTGTGCAGGCCTGAGAACCTGAGTTCAGTCACTCGCATGAAAGTCGGACGCGACAGTCCATACCTATAATCTAAGCACTGGGGAGACAAAGGCAGGAGGATTTCAGGGACCATTACAGCCAAATCAGCAAGTCCTGAGCCCAGCGAGAGATCCTGTCTCAAAAGTCAGGTGGCCAGTGACAGAGGATACCCCATCAACCACTGGCCTCTCTACACACGTTCACGCATGTGCATCTGCACACACATGTACGTGCACCCATCTCAACATGTACACACACTCAGACAGACAAAGTTTGATTGTGGTGTGACTGATAGCGTGAATACATCCAAAGTGACTTTTCCTCCGGCAGGGTACAGCACATGCCACTCCCGGTCATCCAGCTTCTCCGAGTTCTGCCACAGGAGAAATACCTCAGTGGGAAGCACGTCGACAGGAGTGGAAAGCATTCTGGAGCCATGTGATGAAATGGAGCCGACCACGGCGGAACCAAACCCTGACACCGCCGACAGGGAGGAAGACGCCTCGGAGAAACTCCCCAGGTGCCCTCCCACACGGTGACGCTACCTGTAACACGTCTGTATGTTCAACTTAACCCCGTCAATACAAAAGGTGGAAACAACTGTGGTTCTTTTCGCAGGTGCCCGGTGAAGCAGGATTCTGTTGAGTCTCAGCTGAAGCGGGTTGACGACACCAGAGTGGACGCGGATGACATTGTGGAGAAAATCCTGCAGAGTCAGGACTTCAGCCTCGACTCCAGTGCAGAAGGTGTGCGCGGAGAACGGATGTGGACGGGTGCTGTGGTCCACAGCTGTGTCAGCCCACACGATCGATCGGTCGGGCTGCCGCGGCCCATGTAGAGAATCATTCCCCGTCCGCCAAAGCAAAGATAGTTCTGTAGCTTGTCTGACCAAGGCTGGTGATGCTGGAAAAGGAACAAACAAGTGAAGAAATCAGCTGAAGGAGACGTAGTTCAGTAGTATAGCCAGTTCCTAGGATGTATGAGGCCCTGGGTTCAATCCCCAGAACTGGGGGTTGAGGGGAGAGGGGGAAGCAGAGATCCGTTTTAAAGAAAGCTTTCATGTCCATACACTTTATGAGTGTCAGGTCCCTGACCCAGTGTGGAGGGCTGGGGTGGTGGTCTTGAAACAGTGAATAGAATCCTGCAGTCTCCTCGAATTTTCCACAGAAACTGAGAAGGTATATGCCACCAACTTGAAAGGTGCAATTACTCAAGCTGGTGGAAAAGAGAACACTTAACAGTTGACTGGTTTGTTGTGTAACTGGCTGGAAATAGAAATAATTAAACCTCATGAAAATTTGTAGAAAGAGCTGTCATTCCTGTTCAAAGAAAAAGAGCTTTGGGGAAGTTGGTGAGAAGGAGCTGGAGGCTGCCGCTCCAGTTGTCTCTTTCAGAGCTTTGATACATTTAATCAATGTAAAATGTGGATTACTACAATATGCATATTAATTGATGGTCGTCTGATGACCGTATGCTTAACAAGCATTCCAATTATGTGTTGCAGAAGAAGGCCTGAGGTTATTTGTGGGGCCTGGAGGAAGTACAACCTTTGGCAGCCATCACCTTCCGAACAGGTATGTCATCCACCAGATACCATCCTGCTAAAACACAGAGCATCCTAATCCACGAGGAGCGGAGATGTCACTAGTTGTTAGAAGGTTTGCCTAGCAAGAGCAAAGCCCTCGAGTCAGCTTCAAGAGTGACGTAAACAAGCCTGGTAGCTCCCTCCTATAATACCAGCACCTGGGAAGGGAAAGCAGGAAGTTCAAGAGTTCAGGGTTATCCTGGGCTACATAGAGAGTCTGATGCCAGCCTGGGCTCTGTGGGGGGGGGGGGAATCTCAAGTAAAGGACGAAGGTTGCAGTTTTCATTATGCTGTGGCTGAAATAGGACCAACGCTTGTACACCCTTGAGAAGAGTTGGTTATTACTGGAATCCTCTTTCCTTTCCTGCATGTCCTCAATATTATATTCTATGTTAGTTTGTTACTTTATTTAAATGTATTTTTAGACTATATTGGACAAATAGAGCACTGACAATTGTACCATAAAAAAGCCTATTTAGAACAGAATTTTAGCCTACTATTTCAGGCAGAACCGAGCAAGCATTTCCAGCCAGTGCCCTTACCTCTGAACAGCTGTGCACCCACTCACAGCAAAGCTGGTTTTAACCTTTCTTGACCTTAGAGACACTTCACTTTCTTCAAACAAGAAGTCTGCTTCCATTTCTAGTTTTAATTTTCCCTATATAATTTGTATATCTGGCTATTTTAAAGATTTATTTTTTTATGTGTGCCTGCATGTATGTATGCCGTGTGTGTGTGTGTGTGTGTGTGTGTGTGTGTGTGTGTGTGTGTGTACTTGTGGGGCTAGGGCAGAGGGGAGGGGAATCCACAGAGACCAGGGGAGAGCATTGGATATCCTGGGGCATCCTGGGGCAGTTACAGTTGTGAGACACCAGTGTAAATGCTGGAAACTGAACTCAGGTCCTCTAGAAGGGCAGGAATGGCTCTTAACTCCTGAGCCATCTCTCCAGCCTCTATCTGGATATTTTTTAAGATTTTTTTTTGAGGGAGGGTCTCAATGTCTAGCCCTGACTGGCCTGGAATTCACCATGTAGACCAGGATAGCCTCAAACCCACGAAAATCCACCTGCTTCTGCCCCCTGAGTGCTAGGGTTGAAGGCAGGTGCCACCACACGTGGAAAGATTTTCTCTTTGTCACTGGTTTCTTTGAAATTGGAGTGAGATGTGACCGGGTGTTTCTCTGTGTTTATTCTGTTTTAGTTTCACTGAACTTCTTGGATATCCATGCTTATAGATTTCATCAGATTCGAAAATTCTCCAGCCGTTATTCCCCACACATACATACTCCCTTCTGGTATCCTGACGTTCAAATGCCAATTCTCATCTTCTCTATGCTAAGATAAAGTGCAATAGAGCAAACTAACAGTTCTGCCCACATCCCGTTTGGTGAGCTGGTGAGCTTCCCAGGCTTACAAAAGCAAGGGTGACTCACGACAGCTCCATCACCAAGAAAGTGTACCCCATCATGGCTGACAGCCCCCCAGAAGCCCAGCTTCAGCTAGCCTCCCACCCCCTGTACACCCGAGCATCTTCCAAGAGCACATGCAGGAGGGAATGGTGGGTGGAGTCCCAGGAGAGTCTTGTGACCCTCCCTCCCTTCCTTCCTTCTACAAGTATGTATTGAAAGCCCAAGCCCATTCTCATTCCCATAGACCTTGTTGTCGCTGTATTGGCTTATTTCGGTGCCGTGACTACAGTGCCAGGGTTATCCCTGCTGTGTGATGGGAAGAAATGCGGTAATCGTGTTATACCTGGAGGAAAAAGGCATACCACAAACACCTCATATGAGGCCTCCAAGGGATGAGTCCAGCCATCGTGGTTGCTTCCAGGATTGTTAAACTCTGTACACTCCGAGTGAAGCATCGGGTATGGGGGGGGCGGGGGCGGGGGGAGGGAGAGGATTTCTGATACCTTGACAAATGAAATAGGTTACCTACTGCTAACTTTTAGCAGTGAGACCCTCACCTCCATGCAGCACTGCCACTAAAGTTCCCCTGATCACCCAAGATGCTCCTGAGAAAAGGTAGAATTATGACCCATCCAAAAGCTTAAAGCGGGGGCTGGAGAGATGGCTCAGCGGTTAAGAGCAATGGCTGCTCTTCCAGAGGTCCTGAGTTCAATTCCCAGAAACTACATGGTGGCTCACCACCATCCATAATGAGATCTGATTTTCGGATTGCCTTGTGTGTCTGTGTGTATGAAACCTTTAACCCTTGTAGAAATAAACTCAATAGAAAACCACCTGGAGCCACGTGGTGGCGGCACATACCTCTAAACCCAGCACTCGGGAGGCGGTGGCAGATGGATCTCTGAGTTCAAGGCCAGCCTGGTCTTCCAGGACAGCCAGGGCTGCAGGGAGAAACCCTGTCTCAAAAACAGAGAGAGGAGAGGGAGGAAGAGAAGGAAGAAGGGAGGGAGGGAGGGAGGGAGGGAGGGAGGGAGGGAGGGAGGGAGGGAAAGAGATGGGGAGAACCACCTGGTGTATGTACCTGGGAGAATTCCTAAGTTGCCACCTTTACAGTTCAAGTTCTGAAAGTATCCCCCTCACTGCTGTTTCAGGGTAGGATCTGGAGCCTATGAGCAGGTTGTGATCAAACGCTAGAGGTGCCGCCAGCAGACAGAAGCTTCCCTGTGTACGTGAGGTGTGGACAACAGGTGTTTCACGGTGTTTAGGTCAAGCATGTAAGAAAAACAATGAACCTGTTTTCAAAGTGCAGTTCAACTGTGAAGAGGAAAGCCGTGCTGCTTCCTTCTCAAAGCATCCCACCATCATTCCAAGCCACTCAGCCACTGAGGGAGCACGTGAATGGAGGCGAAGGCCTGGCCCGGGGTCAGCACCCAGTCTGCTTTTACTTTCAAGGCACCTCAGAGGAAAACGACATCAGGACACATCTGAGTGTGATTCTGGTATTCCAGTGTAAAAATGCAAGGCAGGGGTGCTCAAAAGGTCTGGGCTCAAAAGCTCTGTTTTTAAATGTTACATTTAGGAGACAGTATGTGAGGTCCATTTAACCCCATAAATGCTATCAAAATAATTATAATTCCTATTAAGTAAATCTTCCATGTCCTACTACATATAGCATTGAACTAAGTGTATTAACTCCTTTTATGCAATAATTGACAGAAAGTATCCGTGCTTTGGGAAAATGTTATCACTTAAACATTTTAAATACTTCATAATTCTAAACATATCGGACATAAGTCAAATGACAGGTGTATCCAAGTCTGAGATAGTTGGATGGAAAGAAAGCTTTGAATATTCGATATATATTGTTCCTTGTCATTAATATTAGATACACTACAAAAGCCCCAGCAGCACTCCGTAAGAGCCAAGTAAGCTTAATAATCAGTCTGTTAGGCTACCAGGGGCAAGCTAGGAGAAAAGCTGATTCATTATCCATTCAGTACTAAGACTTGCTGGTCTCAGCAGTCAGATCAGAAGGAAGACCGTAAGATGATCAGAAAAATGGCACCCTTCCTAAGGAAGCCAGACTTCCGTGAGCTGACACTTACCACTGTGTTAATGGATAGACGTCTGAGCAGCTGCTGGATTTCACCCTGGGGACCGGCGCTTTTCTGTCTTACCCCCTTTGACCAGAGATTGTTTTCTTTACTGTGTCAGAATTTAGCTGTTTGAAGCCAGAGTAGACTGTGACATACCTCTAATACAGCTTTTAGGGTACAAATATCTAGTCTGGATCCATGTTAACAGCACAGCACACAAGTTGTAGTTTTTCTGGTTTTGACAGTAATCCTGTGGAAAGAGCTAAACTTCCCTTTGTTGAAGAGAAGCCTGAGGTGGGCACAGAGCCAGCAATGCCCCAGGCCTCACCTGCACAATCATGTCTGAGGACACAGTAGGTCAGCACAGAATTACTCTGACCAAAACCTTTTTATGTTGACAAAAGGAGGATAGAGTTATACAATGTTTGAATATCCAGATTGGGAAGTTTGGAAAAAAGTGGAATTGTTCGTATTAGAATTTTTACTTTAATATCTCAAGAATTAGGTAGTCTACATTAATCCAAAACTATTTTTACAAGTACATGCTGAATTTTTTAGAAAGATGACACCCTGTTTTAGAATATTTTGAATACTAAAAGAAAGGATTTTCTGAATCATGTGAAGACATATTTGGAGGTTGGGACATTGGCGTGAACATATTTACCAGGGAAGATGTTATCTAAATAGGTGAAGACATGCTGTCTGTTTTCAAGTGAGAAGATCCATTGTATGTTACAAAAAGATCAAAGAAAGTTTTAACTGCAAATAATGGAGGTATTACTTAGATAAGTTTATTCTGACAATTTTAAAAGCATATTTTTCTATTTTAAAAATAATTTCTAGGCTATATTTTTATTGGCACTTCTGCAAATGAGTTTGGATTCTAAAGGTGATAATAGCTGGATTGTGAGCTTGGTTCACGGAGGCTACTTGTCAGACACACACAAGGTGCTGTGATCAGGAAAGAGTTGCTACGATACAGAATCCTTTTTTTTTTTTTTAGAAAAATAAAATGTGTGGGTCGGTAGTGTTTGCCAAGACTACACAAAGCCCTGGGTTAAATCCCCAGTACCTAAACTCTGCATGGTGGTGCACATCTGTCACCCCAGCACTGTGGAACTGGAGGCAAGAGGACCAGATGTTTAAGGACAAATTCTTGGCTCCATAGGGAGTTGAGGGCCAAATGAGGCTGTATGATACCCTATCTCAAAAAGGAAAAATAAAAATGTGAAGAGATCTTGAAAATTGTAGAAAATTATGCCTTTTTAATTTTAGCAGCTACTAAATAATCTTGATTTACATATTGTTAAGTAATAAAACAATCACTTAATAAGTAGAAGCATTGAGTTGGAAGGGGAAAGGCTAGCTGTGACTCTATAGTCCGCAGAAATCTGAACTCTCCTCCCCTGGTGTTCTGGGGTCTGTCCTGCACTCATATTTCAGTACAGTCTGATCAGAATGTGAAGGGTTGCCTGAGTGTCTGCCTGTCTATTCTTTACTTTCTGCAGGGCATCTATTGTCAGTCTCTCAGCCACAAGGCTCGTTTCAAAGCTGTTTGCTGAGTGCCAAGTCTACTTTTAATTCTGCCTTGAGTTTAGAAAACAATAGAAAAATGGAGTCCTAACAAATTATTTTTTTACTATTTAGCTCAAATTTTCAAGTCCAATCTTGGAGAATTTTGTAGGGATGAATTGTTTTCTTCTTCTGTGCTAGAGAAAAGACCACCTGCACTCTTTAGAGCTAGTACTTGTGATGAGAAGGAAGCATCTAACCTGCCTTGTTCAGAAGAATGCACAGGAGAGCTTCTCCTGCGACAGGCTGGCGACAAGACTGTACAGGATGTGCAGCGTAGGAAAAGGCAGAGAAGACCCTGAGCCATCGATTTACACTTGAATGTGGGCTCCCTTTTGTGGTGGTATTAAAGGCTTCTGAGTGCAAACCACTAACGTAGATTAACACTTTTGATGTTAAAGGCTTGACCAACAACCCTAAATTCCACCATCTCATTCCAGCATAAATCCATGAGAATAATATCCAAACTAGATTCTTCTGTATATGTTTTTGTTTTTTTTTTAGTTTGTTGTTATTGTTCTTTTTGTATAAAACTGTGAGCCACAGAAGTTGACCACCTAACTCCTTTGTTACTATAAGGAAAAACAGTATCTTCAACTAATCTCTATTCTAAACAGATTCAAATCCCAGCTCACACCTGTAATCCCAGCACTTGGGAGGTTCAGGCAGGAAGAGCTCTGAGTTCAAGGATAGCCTGGGTTAACTAATCTACTTGAGTTCAAGGGCAGTCTGGGCTCCATGGTAATCATGAGCCCAAAATGAGACCCTGACTCAAAAAACATTTTTTTTCAAATCAGATAATTTTGATGTCAAAGCATCCAGAAGCAATTCCAGACTCTCAGATTTCCATGTTAAATAAACCACTTTTGAAGTATAAACTGACAGTTTCACTAAACATTTCACTGAAGCACTCCTGAAACTGTAGGCTTCCGTGTTTATAACAAATCTCTGAGAGAGGCAGTAGGCTCACATGACGGGATTGTATTGTTTTCTTCACAAGTCTTTCATGTGGGCGTCTTAGAAATTCAGTTCTCTTAGATGGTACATCCTGTGAATATCATCAAGTAGGGTAGCTGAGACTGCGTCAGGCCACTGTACATACTGGCTTAGTTAGGTACTGTGCATAATGTTAGTAGTTGAGCTGTAAGAATGAAATTTTCCTTTTGTAAGCCTAAGTTAAGACTACCCTGGAAATAAGGCCTTATTCCCTTCTTCATGTGATTTTCATCAGAAAATGCAGACACAAACTATCTTAAATGGTAATAGGGGAGGTCTCCCCATACAACAAAGCTGATAAACATTTTGATTTACAGTGTGTTCTGTATTTTCAAATGTGTACGTTTATCTTACATAATTCTTTCACCAATATTCATTGGCCAAATCAATGTAAGGAAAGACAAACTATAGAAGAATTTGATTAATTTTGACAATATGTCTTGAGGATTACCTTCCTCTATATTATTTCAATCATTTGGAGGTTTACACAGTGTTTATGAAGAGTGTTATTAATAGCTGAGGAATAGCTCAGTGGTAAGGAACATTCCAACATGTGCAAGACCTGGGATTGGCCCTTACCACTGAACAAAGAAAATGAAGTGACTCTGTCAGTATTCTAATACTTGGAGAATGACCTTCATAGTTATATATTTTATGTCTTATGTTTTAACTATACAGTGATAAAATCCAGGAAATGTTTTATAACAAAATAAAATTTTGTTTGTAAAATGTTTGTAATAATGTAAAAGTGAATCTTATACATGTTCAATAAAAAGCAGTATCTCTAAAGTCTAGATGCTCTTAATCTTTTTAAGACTTTATTTTTATTATTTTCATCTATGTGTATGGGGGTTTGTGCATGTCAGCGTGGTGCTCATGAAACCCCTAGGAACAGAATGCAGATCCTTAACCACTGAGCCATCTCCCCAACCCTCTATTTTTTAAAATATTAGGAAGCGAGGTATGGTGGCTCATTCCTGAAATCCCAGCAATCAGAAGGCAGGGGGATCACCATGGGTTTGGGGACAGCCTGGGCTACATATTGAGTTCCAAGACAGCTTGGACTACAGAGTGTGATCTTGCTTTTAAAAAAAAAAAAAAAATCTGTAAAAAGAGACACGTGCTGTTTCCTCTGAGCCGTTGGACTGAGGTTCCCAGCCATGGAAGATCTTTGCTACATCAGAAGGCCTTTACCGGTGGTCTGTAGCCTGTCCTACAGCCTGGCTCCAGGCAGAAGTTAGCTAAGTGCCCACAATAACTACAGACACCCTGCAACTTCAGCCAATGGAACTCTTCCTAGGATCCAGTTACCCTGTCTCTTCATTGAGCAGGCTTCGTGAATAACCAGTAACTATTCTCAGTGAAAGTTCCATCAGGTTCAAGTGTGATCCAAGACAGTTAAACTTCACAGGCACCAGCCACTGACAAGGAGCTTCCCAACTACGGCTGTGATGAAAAGGAGAGAGGAAAACGGGCAGGCATTTAAAAGGCTGATGTGATGGAAGTGTTCACTGTCACCTGAACGCAAACGCATGGGAGACCAGTTATTTGTTGCCTGGAACAGTTTACCATGGGTGTAGACGGGAAAAGTCTTGCTCCTTCCTGTTCAGCATAAGAAGTAGGCTACAACTTGTGGGTGGTGCAGTAACCTTCTAACTCTGCCCTGGCTAAGGATTTCACTGCCTCTCACCAGCGGGTCTTGTGGCTGTAGACATCACCTTTTGCCATTTCCAAGAAGATCTTTTTAAATATTTACAAATACTACCCATATTTGTAAATGCATTGGGTGTGACAAAGGGTTTCCATAGATTTTAAATTTGTCATAGGATACTTCTTAAAGTTCTGCCCAAAAAAAATTAAGAATTAGGTTTTTAAAAAATTACATCGAGCCAGGCGGTGGTGGCGCACGCCTTTAATCCCAGCACTCGGGAGGCAGAGCCAGGCGGATCTCTGTGAGTTCAAGGCCAGCCTGGGCTACCAAGTGAGTTCCAGGAAAGGCACAAAGCTACACAGGGAAACCCTGTCTCGAAAAAACCAAAAAAAAAAAAAATTACATCGAGTCACCCATATCCTTGTGCAGACCTTTCTTACCACGCACAGGTTAGAACGACCGCTTAGGAAGGAAATGCAACACCAGCACTCCTCACTGTTGATGCTGAGACAGCAATGGAAAGTTAATAAAGGGCTGTGGTTAGGAGTTTGAGACCAGATCCTTTTGCCCATCATCTGGGCCCCTGGACAGTGCAGCTCATAAAAGGTTTGACCACTAAGCATCTTTCTTGTTGGTGGGAGGGGATACAATATGGGCACTCTAGGGAAGAATCTCCAAACCCATCCCCAGGACACAGGATAACTTGGTACCAGATCATAGCAAAACCAGGCAGGACCTCCGACCTACCTCTTTGCTGCATCTCCGGCCTGGAGTCCCCATTTTTCTCCGCATCTGGTGGTTTTCCTGTCTCCTGACCTGTCTCCTTTTTTTCCTCCACCCATTTCAACCTGTGTACCACTGTTCTAGCTGGTTTGTAGTCAACTTGACACGCGCTAGAGTCGCCTGGGAAGAGGGACTTGAGAAAAGGCCTCTACCAGATTAGTCTGCAGCATGTTTACTTGATTCATGTTCGAGCTGGGAGAGCCCAATCCTGGAGAGAGGTGGTCCGGAGTTGTGCAAGAAAGCAGGCTGAGCAAGCCACAGGGAGCGAGCCAGAAAGCAGCATCCCTCCATGACCTCCGCTTCTGTTCCTGCCATGTATTCCCCTGATGATGATGCCCTGTGCTGTGGACATAGGAGCCCAAGAAACCCTTTGTTACAGCAACAGAGAAAGCAAGCTAAGACTACTTATCACTTACGTCATTATTGAAAGTTTCCGTGTGGGTGAGGTAGAAAATCATTGGTCAAATTAATCTAGCCCCTGTTTATGTAACAATTAGAAAGCAAACTGGACAGGGCCAAATTTAGACATTCCCTGGAGCTGTGGTATCTGGTCTATGTGAAACCCTGTAACAAGGAAATGTCAGTCAGAGGTATTCCTGTGGGAACTGCTTCAGACACATTCCTATGCGGTTACAACTCTGCTAAACTGAGATGTCCTCTCGAGCTGGTATCCGAGGTGGGTTTTGGGTTGGTTTGGTGTTGGTTTGCTTTGCGTTGTGTCTTAGCTATAATTTGAGTCAAAACCACAGTGTATGCGTTACTTTAGGAAAAGTGTGCCACCTCCTGGCACTGACCTTCAATGACTCCCCAGTGATTCTCTGCACATATATTCCATAGAATAAAACCGGGGCGGGGGGGGGGGGGGGGGGGCACATTGGATATTTTTTCAATAGTAATTTTAAATAATTGAAAATATCTGCCAGAAATGTGTATGAAGTCTTTTCCCCATGCTGCTTAAGTAAGGTGAAATGTTTGCTGTGGCGTGGGATGAATGAAAGGTTCTGAAAGTGCAGGTCCATGAGCAGGAAGCACTGAATGAAAACCACGATAAAGCACCCACAGAGATAGGCCAGGACACAGACGTCACAGTGGAAACGCAAGGGTCATTCGGTGAACACCCACAGTCCAACGGGTCAAGGTTAAGGTGTGGATCTAGGCTGCAGTGTTTCTAGGAGCAAAGAAACTGATTTAAATAATTTGGCTAATGCCAGCCTGCATCACAGACTACAGAATGAAATGGGAAGAAAAAAAGATAATTACAGGCAAAAAAGTATATACAATTCGGCGGGTGTAACAGGCCTCCAGATCTTAGCACAACTGACTCCATGATGGAAAAGAAAACTCAGCACATGGACAGTACCACCTGCCCAAACAAAAACGAAGACCTAACCAATTGTTCTGGGAAAGTCTCTAAATGTACTAATCTTGCTTTTAGGTTTCTGAAGTTCCACTTCTGGCTAACTGTTTTGTTGGAAGAGCAGAAAGCTACGTTTTAGAGCTGCCCAGACTGGAAGTAGGAGTGGGAGGCCATGGTTGGTAACCAGTTTCACATATAGTCTGGGAATGTGGACCCTGTTGAGTGACGATGAAACTAATTCAGGCAAATGTTTAGGTAAAATTCTGCCTCTTACAAAACCGCATTCTTCATCCCCTGGGTCACACCGCAGTTTAATCATTGGAGAATAAACATCTTGAATGACTGTGCTTAGAACTATGTCGCCCAGGGGATGGGTTAAGAGTGCCAATTGCTGCCAGGTGGCGGTGGTGGTGGCGCACGCCTTTAATCCAGCACTCGGGAAGCAGAGCCAGGCGGATCTCTGTGAGTTCAAGGCCAGCCTAGTCTACAGAGCGAGTTCCAGGACAGGCACCAAAACTACACAGAGAAACCCTGTCTCAAAAAAAAAAAAAAATGCCTACTGTTCTCCCAGAGGATCTAGGTTCAATTCCCACATAGCGGTTCACAACTGTCTGCAACCCCAGTTCCAGGGGATCCAATGCCCTCTTCTGCCCGCCACATGGCAAAACACCTATACACATACAAATTAAGTAAGTAAATAATTTTTTAAAGCTATATGGCTCTTTCAAGTGAAATACCTGGGGTGGAAGGATGCTGGGGTAAGAAACAACCTGTCCCCTAAAAGGTCATTAGTTCTTGCAAAACTGGAATCTACACTTAGTGAACTGAGGACAAGGGATGTTTGTGAGTTGTCTCTAGGAAGGGATAGGAAGGGCGAGCTCTTTAGGAATATTTCTTTACATTCTCAAGAGTAATTGGGGGTGGGGTGCTCAGTGGTTAAGAGCACTGGCTTCTCTTCCAGAGGACCAAGGTTCAATTCCCAATACCCATGTGACAGTTCACAACTGTCTTTAATTCCAGTCCCAGGGAATACTATGCCCTCTTCTGGCCTCTAAGGGCACTGTATGCATACGGTTCACAGACACACAGGCAGGTAAAACACCCTACACACAAAATAATCAAATTTTTAAATAGAGCAATTGGGGATTTTTAACATAAATTTCTATATACAACCATTAATGTTTTGCAAAAGAACATGTTGTCAATAAAGAACGGAGCACATCCAGCTGCATTTATAAATTGCATCAAAAATATTCAGTAGGGGCTAGAGAGAAGGTTCAGTGGTTAAGAGCACTTACTGCTCTTGTACAGGACTAAAATCCCATTCCCAGCTCCCACACTGGGCGGCTCACCACAGCCTGAACTCCAGCCTCAGGGATCCATTGTCCCCTTTGAACCTCCACAGACACCTGCATGTAGTATATGTGCATACATTACTCACAGATACGCACAAATATCCATAAGACTTAAAAAAAATAAATATTTAAAATATGTATCAGTAAAAGAATAAGAACAAGTGTAAAAACTTCATGCACTTATGCCGTTTGGGGGAAGTTGGTGTAAAACATAGACAATCCACTGGATTCTATGCAGAATTGAGCAGAGCTGCTCTTCAGGAAGCAATGAATAGAAGCCAGGAGCCCCCAGGAGGCTGTGAGATGGTGAGTATGAGGATAAAAAGAATTAAGGTATTACTAGCTTTATTTTAGATTATATAGTTCTGAACTGTAGCTGGAGTTTTCCCCAGTCCCAACCAGGCCCACAGCCACTCAGATCCAAATAAACACACAGAGGCTTATATGAATAAAAATTGTATGGCCCAATGGCTCAGGCTTCTTGCTAACTAGATATTACATCTTAAAATTATTTCTATAATTTCTATAAATCTTTACCTTGCCACGTGGCTCGTGGCTCACAGGTATCTTTACATCTTGCTTCTCATGGCGGCAGCTGGCAGCGTCGCCCTTTCAGCCTTCCTGTTCCCAGAATTCTCCTCTCTGCTTGTCCTGCCTATACTTCCTGCCTAGCTACTGGCCAATCAGCACTTTATTAACCAATCAGAGCAACACATTCACAGCATACAGAGCAATATCCACAGCACTGAACTCCACTTTTCCTTTCACAATTTAAGTTGTAAGGTTGTTATAAGAAAAATAATTTGCACAGTTTTTCCTTTGTTTGGGTTTTGGTTTTTGTTTGAAGGCAGAGTCTCACTATGTAGCCCTGGCTGTCCTAGAGCATGGAGTGTAGACCAGGTTGACCTCAAATTTGTCTCTGCCTCCTGAGTGTTGAAACTGTGGGTGTGCGCCACCACATCCATCTGAATCTTTTGTTATGTGCTGCTAAGGAATCAAAATCAGGCCTCAAGCATGCTGGGAATAAAAAAGGGTCTTTGGGGCTTAGTTGTTTTGTGTTTGTTTTGAGGGAGTCTTTAAGGTAGCAGCAACCTTCCCCATCCAGATCTCAGCCGTCTGGGGGTTGAGGATGCAGCTCAGAGGGTAAAGTGCTCGCCAGCATGTATGGAGGACCTGGGTTCAATCCCCAGTACTGCAGAAAACGGTGCAGCGGCACAGGCCTGAGATCCCAGCACTTGGGCAGTGGAAGCAGGAGGTTCAAGGTCATACTCAGCGACATCATGAGTCTGCAAAACAAGGTCTCAGACACTTGAAATTCAACCAGAATTTAAGTTTGCAAGAAAATGTACTTCCTCTCCTCCGCCCATAAACTTCTCAGCACAAACCAGTGCTCAGTCCAGAAAATGACAGCAGTGAACATGCTTTACTCAAGATATGTAGGACAATGTGTTCCTAGTAGGAAAAAGGGAGGGGGCTTAAAATCACACAAACACTTGTGGCTGGGGTAGCGCGCGGCAACGCACCTGCTTAGCGTCTGCAGGGTCCTGGATTGGATCCCAGCACAGAGATATTCTTAAATGTCTCCAGATAATAGAACCTAAAAAAGCCCCCTCGTTCCGAGGCTTGTGAGGTTCCAGATTTGAAGGTAGCATTGAGGCATTAGGGCCTCAAAGAGTGCATTTCCCACATCTGATTTCTTAGGAAGCTCCCTAAAAATTCCCAGACCGGGAGGGAATAGGAATGGAGAGATCTGCACTCAACATTGAACTCCAAGAGCAAGGGTCAAATGTGCTGTGATAGGAAAGTGAAGGGCTCACAGGTGACAGGTTAGGGGCGATGACCGGAGAGGGCACTGTTTCAGGGAGTCTCCATTCTGCAGTGTGTGTGTGCGTGTGTGGAGTCTGGTTAGGAGCCGTGGAAAAGCCGTTCTGTAGAGAGCAGAGGGGACTGTGTGCTAGAATGTGTACTTGCACTGTTCTACTTGTTTCTTGAAGGCTGCCAGGTGCTTGGCCACTCCGTCTGAAAATCGATTTTGAGGACGATGCTGGCTCTCTTAACTAGGTCAGAACTACAATACCCACTCTTTAGCTTTTATACGAGCTTCCCATGATGGCTTTTACACACAACTGGAACAAAATTCCCCTAGCAAACCTGATGATTTTCTACATTTGGTTTTTGTGTGCGTGGAGAGGGTTATTTTTGGTTGTTTTTCTTGAGACAGGGCCTCACATAACCCAGGGTGGCTTCAAACTCACTAGGTAGCCGAGGATGACTCTGAAAGTCTGAACCTCTGTCTCCATGTCCCAAGTGCTGGGATTACAGGCACGCCCCCACTACACCTGGCTTGCATTCTGCAATTATTGCAGTCTCTAGTTTTCCTCACTCTTCAGAATGAGCATCCTTTGTGTGCTGCTAAAGGATGAGGGTGTGGCTTTAGAACAAGGACCTGTGCTGGGGGGGGGGGGGGGGGACTCATTGGTAGAGCACCTGCAGAGCGCACACGGAGCCCTGCGATACATTCCCAGCAGCAAAGGAGAGAGAAGAGGGCTTCAGAATAAACCTGTCACTGTGCAAAGAAAGGCGTTTGTCAAACCTGAGACGTGAACACAAACTAAGGATGTACGTACAAGCCAAGGGCTGGAAGTGTGGCTTGGTGGTAAAGCGCTTGCCTAGCATGTCTGCAGCTCTGGGGAAGAGCGAGAGGTAGGTGCAGGAAATGTGGATAGACAAGAAAGAGCTGTTCTCATCCCCATGGTAGTTGTAAGCACACAAAGGGTTTGTGGGTAAGGGATCAAGACATCAGGCTTCAAGAGAGCTGAGGGACTAACTTGGGAGGAAGATATGATCAAGGGCTTCTTTACCTCGGCTAGAAAACGTGACTTCAGCAAAGAGCCATGATGAGCAGGGAGCTCTAAGGCAAACCTTGAGCACAGACATAGAAAGGCGAAGACGGGGCATTTGGGTGTGGAAAGGAATGTAAATCTCTGTCTAGGTCATGTACACCTTTGAGCACCTGGGGGCACGTGGCAATCTGATGGATTATTCTATGAGATTCAGAGGACAGCTGGTTAGCAGTGCCTATGTGATGAAGATTCTTCTCTATGAAAACCTTCTCACCAAATCCACTGATTAACAACCCTGGAAGATTCAGCTTAAGGATAAGTGTCCACAGAGCTCTTACCCAGGGACCGACTCCACAGCCTCCGAACAGCCTCAGGGAGTTCAGGCTATACCGGGTGGCACAGGCGGTGGACATGTCCATTTTCTTCGGGTTCCTTAGCAGATGTCTGAGTAGGTGTGTGGCTTCTTAGAATATGAACTACACTTCTCAACTTCCCTCACTGTCACACAGGAAGTGGCGGCGGTGGTGTTGCCTAGCAACAAGCACCAAAGCACACGGGGCAGCTAATGAGCTCCACCTCTCTTCCTTTCTGGTAGTGTAGGCTATGCAAGAGGAAACCCCAGGTTAATCCACCGTCTCTGCCACAGTTATCAAGATGGACACCAGGGGCTCTAACGTTAACTGTGGAGCAGCCATGCCTGGCTGACTTACCTCGGGACTCCCATGCCTCACACAAGAATTTCCCCTTGGGGCCCCTTTTCTCTTTCATCGGACAAAGCCACATTTCTCTCTCCTATAGCTACTACCACCCCGACTCCAGGCAGAAAGTTCTGGAAGGGTATTCACATGTGGGTGGGGGTGCTGCTCAATGGTAGAGCACATGCCTAAAATGTGCAAAGCCCTGGGGTTCAACCTCTACCACCACAGACATACCTAGACACACACTGTGTGGACAGGGATTACCAAGGAAGACTTCTATACCCTTCATTACCAAGGGAGACTTCTATACCCTTCAAAAAATAACCATGTTCCTTTTTCATATAATGTTTTATGCAAAGTAAAAGGATAATCCTAGATTTTAAAACTACATCACCCCTGGGAAAAGTTGGGCAGAGGAATTGGTTTTTGTTTTTGAGATATAGAGTCTCACCATGTAGCCCAGGCTGGACTCAAACCCATGATCCTCCTGTGTCATCATCCAGGTGCTCAGATTATAGGTAAAGGGCCCCTATGCTCAGCCCTGGGAAAGGTTCTCAAGTGGCTTTGATTACATTGAAATGTTTTAATGTCACATTCAACATACGGCTCTAACACCAAAATATGGGTGAGGACAAAATTAAAAACATTACCACATCCAATTTCTTCATTCTTGGAAACATCCAATTTAAAAAAGAAAGAAAAGAAAAAAGAAAAATCCAATTTTAAAGGAAAGCAACAACTTTTAGTTAAGCCCTTTCTTAGGCAAAGAGCAGTCTATGTCAGGCAGATCTGTCAATGAGTTCAGGACCCGATTTGTGTTAAAAAACTTGCAAAATATTACTTGAATTAGGACGGTACAAAGTTTAAGTCATAGGGCTAAGGGAATAGCTGAGCGGCAGAGTGCTTGCTTACCATGCACAAGGCCCTTCGCTCAATTCCCAGCACCACAAAAACAAAAACAGTTTGAATTCTAAGCCAACTTAAGTATCAGCGAGACTCTGAGCTTCGGGGAAATTCGGATGGCTCAATTATCTTCAGACCGATAATCCCAAGAATTATGCAGGTCAACGACCACTGCAGAGCCGTCTCTGCTCAAGCAGACCGAGTCAGCAATGAGGGACCGCATCCTCTCTTCGTCAATGCTCAAGCGGTGCAGCTTGGGATAAGCGAGCAATCGCCGCAGGGGTATGCAAAACTTCTCTCCTTCACAGAAAGGTCGGGGAGAATTTTCTATCCTGGCCTTTTCGGCTTCCGTGAAAAATTCTCCCAGCAGTAGGTGGGGCTCTGGGGAGAAGTCCTCGTCCCCTGGCTTAGGGTCCTCCTTCTCCTGCTCCCTCAGCATTCTCTGGTATCTCAGCCTCAAGCGCTCCACCTGTATCAGGAGTTCCCCAACCAGTACAAACTTGAGCACCTTTTCCTGCTGTAAACTCGGGTAGGAGGTTGTATAAACCTGAAGGGAAGAAAACCAAACAGAATACAGGAAGTTTGCTGAAACCATCAGTAATTCAGCCATATAACAACTAACTGCGCACACCCTGCATGTGTCGGAATCTATTCATTGTAAAAGCCTTAATTTTACTGGAAGTCAAACACTGTGGATATTAGCTAACTGGTTTGCTTCCAATTCTAATGTCAACTATATCTCAGTCATGTTTCTACCAACAGGCACTAACCCAGGATTCCTTTTTTTTTTTTTAAGATTTATTGTATTATTTGGTGTGTGTGAGTGTTGAGCCTGCATGCATGTCTGTACAACTTATGCAAGTCTGGTGCCCACTGCAAGCCAGAAGAGGGTGTTAGATCTGGTGGGACTGGAGTCGAACCCCTAACCCAGTGTTTCTACTTGATACTACGTGGAAAGTAGTGTAGAAAGAAAAAACAGTTCAATCTAGAATCAGTGGTACATGCCTATAACCCCAGTTCCTTGAGAGGCTCAGGCAAGACAACTACTGATCCAAGAGATCAATGCCACGCTGGGCAACAAAGTGGCACATGGGCTAAAGAAAAATTAAAAATAAATGAAAAAGATTCCATGGCGATGGGAGCGGTGGGAATGGTGGGGGTAGTGGGGGCGGTGGGGGCGGTGGAAATGGTGGGGGCGGAGGTAATGGTGGGGGCGGTTCTAACAGTGGTAGTTGTAATAGTAGTCCTTGTCCTCATTGTCCATCATGCTGACCCACAGACTTCTAGCCCTGACAGCTACTTCACAAGGAATACTCACCGCTTTGTACACATGCTGGTCATGCTGCTGTGAGACACAGGATTCAGCTAGCTTCCCACTGTTTTTCCTAAAGACACCTATCTGGGTACAATATCCAACATGCTCAGATCCAGCTGGTGGTGTCCCTACCCCAGTAAACTCCACACAGTAATTGTAGCAGTTTGCCACTCGTAAAGCCCTGAAATCAAATGATAAAGGGAAATCACTTCTCTGACATACATACAGTTCCGGTTAAACAGCTTTGTAAACAAACTTTTTTTTTTTTTTTGGTTTTTCGAGACAGGGTTTCTCTGTGTAGTTTTGGTGCCTGTCCTGGATCTCACTCTGTAGACCAGGCTGGCCTGGAACTCACAGAGATCTGCCTGGCTCTGCCTCCCGAGTGCTGGGATTAAAGGCGTACGCCACCACCGCCCGGCTAACAAACAATTCTTAAGTGACTTCTTTGTTGGTAGTTTAAGGAAACAGAAAATATATGAATCAAATTATTTCTAAGCCAAGCATGGAGGCACATGCCTATCATGCCACTTGAACTGATAAGGCAGAAGGATAAGGATTTTAAAGCTAGCCTGAGCTATATAAGGAAACATCACCTCAAAAAACAATAACCCTAAAGTTAAACATCCCTACACGTGTATGATGTACCACCAGGATGCCTGACTATGTAGGAACAAAGGCAGCACATTTTCAGTTTGCAAGTCACCACAGGAAAAGGAAAGGGAAGCTATGGGACAGGCAGAGTGTAGGGGTGGATGAAGAAACCTCAAAGGCTCCAGCCCAGATGATGTGCATTTGTAATTACACCAAAACAATGTGCACAAGCCAAGAAGCCACCCCAAGCATGGGTGTGAGTTCCCTTCACAGCCCACATCCTCCCCATTTTGGTCCTCATTCGATGTCAACACTACAGGTGCCTCCTAAAGAGCATCCAGGAGACACACACTTCTCCTGCTGACCACATGTGCTGCTTTCCCTGTGATCTTACTACATCATAAGCCACACATGGAGACCTTGCTGGAATGAAGTAAGGAACAATTTAAGACAGACATATCAAAGCTTACTTCCCGCCGGGCGGTGGTGGCGCACGCCTTTAATCCCAGCACTCGGGAGGCAGAGCCAGGTGGATCTCTGTGAGTTCGAGGCCAGCCTGGGCTACCAAGTGAGTTCCAGGAAAAGGCGCAAAGCTACACAGAGAAACCCTGTCTCGAAAAACCAAAAAAAAAAAAAAAAGCTTACTTCCCATGGCAGGACTCCTACCAAAAACCAACCAAACAATAACAGCAAATAAGAAAACTTCTGAACTTACCAGGTCTGAAACTCCATTCTGCTCCACTCAAATTTATGATCTGCATCCCTCAGGGTCACTGTGGGGAACAGGGGGTTGAACTCAGCGTTTGGTGTGCTGATGACAACCATGGATGGTGACAGGTATCCAAAAACCACTTCAGGAAATCTGGCCAGATCATCTGAATTCAAATGTTCTATTCTGAAACAGTTAATAAGAACGATGGAATTAATGTGGCTTCACTTGCATGAATTTTCCTAATTTATTTGGCAAAAATAATTCCTACCTGGATGTTGATTTCTCCCTTCTTTGATAATGCAACGGTCCACAACCCATGAACAATTGTTCTTCTGTTTCAATCCTTCCTACTTTAGCTTAGCCCAGGATGAGCCATCAACTAAGGTCCTCTGCTGCCCTCTACAGAACTCATATCAATATTCCTTTTAAAAAGGTATCTGAGCTTGTATATTCCTTGATTTGATGCCCCAAGAACACAACATTACTTCTATGAGATCTTTTCAAAAATGCCAGGCAACTGTAGAGATAGCTCAGCAATCATGAGCACGTACTATTCTCACAGAGGACCCACGTTTGGTCTCCAGCACCCATGTTAGGTGATTCACAATCACCTTTAACTCTAGCTCCAAGGTATCCAATGCCCTCTTCTAGGCTCCAGGGGCACCTGAACTCACATGTGGATATAGTTGTGCAAAGAATGAGGATCTAAGTTCAGATCCCCTATACTCAAAAAAAAATCTGACATGGAAATACACATCTGCAACCCCAATGCTGGGGAGGCAACTACCAGAAGATCTCTCAGGCTTGTTGGCCAGCCAATGTAGCCAATCAGCAAGATTCAGGGTCATTGAGGCCAGCCAGTGTAGCCAATCAGCAAGATTCGGGGTCATTGAGAGACCCATCTCAAAAATACGAAGTAGCCAGGCACGGTGACACACACCTTTATTCTTAGCACTTGGGAAGCAGAGGCAAGCAGATTCCTGTGAGTTCAAGGCCAGCCTGGTCTACAGAGGGAGTTCCAGGATGGCCAGAGCTACACAGAGAAACCCTGTCTCAAAAGAAAAAAAAGTGATTGAGAAAGACACCGAACGTCAAACTCTAGCCTGCACCTCCCACGCATGTGTGTTCATGAGTGCATGAATGCACACACAACCTATCCCCTGGGACAGCAGGTAGAGTTTGGAGCTAGAGCACCTGCTTAGCATGCATGAAACACTTGATCAATATCCCCACCAAGCCAAAAAAAAAAATGCATCCTCTAAATCTAGCATTAAAATACTAAGACAAATCCAGATTAAGGGATGTTCTAGAAAGCAGAAAGACTGAGCAAACCCATTCCAGATGATTTAACAGACATTCAAAAGACATCACTACTAAAATCCCCAGGCTAGACGTGATGGTGCATGCCTTTAATTCCAACACTCAGGAGGCAGAGGCGGGGGGAGCTCTGTGAGCTCCAAGACAGTCAAGGCTACATAGAGAGAGCCTGTCTCAAAAGGTACCAAAAAAAAAATAAATGAATAAAAATAAAAAATAAACAAAACCCACATTTTAAATGATAACTAGATTTGAAAAAACTATAAAAGATATCACTAGAACAGCTGAGTTGTGAGTGGTGGATATGCACTACTATATAACATGGCCATATGCAACATTGTAAGCTTCTTTTTTTTTTAAGGTTTTTTTTTTTTTTTTTGAAACAGGGTTTCTCAATGTAGCCTTGGCTGTCCTGGAAGTTACTCTGTAGACCAGGCTGGCCTCAAACTCAGAGATCTGCCTGCCTCTGCTTCCTGAATGCTGATATTAAAGGTGTAAACCACACTTGCCACTGTGACATTTCTTAATACAGCATACTATGGTTATACAAAAGGAAGCACATCATCTTATTTTTTTATTTTTATTTGTTATTACTGTGTGTGTGTATGATGGGAGGACATTCATGTGCCATATATGGAGACCGGAGTACAACACTGAAAAACCAGTTCTCTCCTTTCGCCTTTATGTGACTTCTGGAAATTGAACTCAGGTCTGTAGACTTACACAGCCAAGTGCCTTTTCCTGCTGAGCCACCTCGTTGGCCCAAAGCATTAGAAAAGATGTTTAAGGGCCTGCAATGTAGCTAGCAGATTAAAGATGCTTGCCCCCAAGCCTGACAATATGAGTTCAGGCATACATACACACACACACACACACACACACACACACACACACAATCTAATAAAAATTTTTAGGAAAATATCTTTAAAATATAGGTATTTATGAGTCTCCAATGTACTCTCAGGTAGATCATATGAAAAGTGCATACAGGAAACTACAGCTAGAGGAAAAGCCTAAGTAAATAGAACCAAAGGTAAAGAATTTGTAAGCCTGGATGAACAGAACAGTGCCTTGTTCCTAATCCCACAACATCTGTAAGTATAAGTGATAACAAAGATGGGGCAGGATTGGCAATGCCCTGCCCTGGATCCCCAACGCCTCAAACAAATATGATTCATGAGAGGGCCTGGAGAGAGAAGAGAGAGGAGAAAACAGCATAATTATATTAATCTCAACAGACAATTATTTCTAAAGACATTACCAAATACTACTAAGTGTGACACAACAGATTAACCCCAGCACAACAGAAGTATCATCAACACCTGACTCTTACCAATCGACAGGCCATCGAAACAAAAGAAATATCTGAATTAAATGAATCATAGATCAAAAGGACTTAACATACCGTCTATGTAGTATTCCATCCAAATACTGCAGAATATAAATCCTTCCCAGTAGCCCACAGAACTTTCTCTAAAGTAGATCATGTATTAGGACACTAAGCACATCTTAACAAATATAGAAAAACTGAAATGATTCCCTGTGTTCTGTCTGATCACAATGGAATAAGACCACAAATCAACAGCAGGAGAACCCCCAAAAGGCACAAAGCCCTGACTTTGATCCCTGGCATCATATAAAACTGAGCATGGTGGCACATACCTCGAATCCCAGCACTTGGGACATAGAGGCAGAAGGATACGAAATTCAATATTATCAATACCAAGTTTGAGACTATCCTGGGCTATGCTAGCCTTCAAAAAAAAGGAGAAAGAGAAAGGGGGGCTGGAGAGATGGCTCAGCAGTCAAGAGCACTGGTTGCTCTTCCAGAGCACCAGTTTGATTCCCAGCACCTACATGGTGGCTCTCACAACTGTCAACTGTCTTTGATTCCAGGCCCAGGGGATCCAGTCCCTTTGCAAGCCTCCTCAAGCACTGTACACACACATGGTACAGAGACATACATTCAGGCAAACACTTATACACATAAAGATAAATTAAAAATCTAAAAACTAAATACATCATAAAAAAAGAAAAACAAATTAGTCTCCTTGTTTTTATGTGTTGCTGCAGGCCACAAAAATATTAAATAGAGATTCAGCTGTATATGATAAAGCCATACCTAGAAAGATCAAGGAATCCTTCTAGAGAAGTCAAATATCAAGGAATACTTGATGTTATTCGGCTTTTAATATATCAGCTGTTTCCTGCTATTAATTCCTTGTGTGCTCATACTCCTAGGCCATAGGCAAACAGTATAAGCTCCTCAGACCTCCTGCTGATCTGAACTAGGTAACACCCCTACAGAGACAATGCCTAGGAGACAGGCAGGTATGTAAATGCGTAGCTTTGTTTCTTGTGCAAATGAAGCTCAGACCATCCCTTTCTCTCATAGGCCTAGTAACACTGCAGAGCTATTGACTGAGAACAAAGGGGTTTATTGCATAACCAGGTGCAAGTGAAGACAGGCAGAATTCCTGACTCAGGGTTAGGATTAGAGTGGCTCGGCTGGGCAGAAAGCAGTAAGGAAAAGTTTCTGCAGATTGTAGGTGGATTTGAATCAGGTCAGGGAGGAGAGGAAGGAAAGATGGAGGGCAGAGGAACAGAGGATGAATATGAGATCCATAGAAGAGCTTAGTTAGGGCTATGAGAGGACAAGAAAAGAAGAGACAGAGAGGAGCAGAATATGAGGACAGAACTGAAGCTGTGGAGATAGAATTTTGTCTTAGAGAAATAAAGCGGATGGACAAAAGAGCAAGGTGTACATAGATTCTTTTCCCACAGATTACCCCATGCCGGCCAACCATAGTGGCTTCCCCAGGACTCAGGGAAATCTTCTCAGGGCAGGCCCCTGGGAAATTTTCGATAATGTGTGTGAGTGTTTTGCTTGCAAACCATACACCCTCAGAGGTCAAAAGAGGGAGTTGGTGCCCATGGAATGGAGTTATGGATGGATGTTAGCTGCCATGTGGGTGCTGGGAACTGAACTTCCTCTGTAAGAATAAGTGTTCTTAACTACTGTGACATCTCTCCAGTCCCACAAATGAAATTTTAAACAGGAGCAAAGGCCTGTGTACATAATCTTCTTTTAATTATTTCAGGGGTGAAAAGCACTGTATGGAAGGACAGCACATGTGACATGATAAGGAATCGAAGGGAGGCACTAACAGGTGGCTGTGTGATGAGTATATGAATGTCTGTTTTTGGAATTATCTTCATATTTGGAATTCCCGAGTAAAATACTAAAAGTAAAAAGATACTCCCAACTGATAAGTATTTTTTTTTAAAAAATAATCACATTGATTACTAAGGCTAATTCCTTCATATTTTTCAAAACAGACAGTTGATACAACTTTCAGACTTACAATTCAATGCATGTTATCAAATCGAATCCAAGCAAGCGAGAGTCTCTCTCCACAACAGAGCCATGATACAAGGTGACAGTCAAATCTAGATCTCGGGGTTTTACAAACTCCCCCAAACAGGGAGACAAGTGATGCCTGCAAAAGAATTACTGTCAGTCAGCAACATTAGGAAACAACTGACTTAGCAATTCCAAGACTGGGGATATGGCTCAGGGGCAGAGGATGCACCTAGCTGCATGAGGAGAGGTCCTGAAACTTGAGTCCTGCTTTGGTGTGTGTAGACTTCCAACTGTGATTCCCAGAACCACAAAAGTAAAAAGGGAAGGAGCTCTCCCAGTTGCAGAACCGGTCCTCTGCGCATCGCCCACACTGATGGGAGTCCTACTTTCTCTTCCTGCACTTAACGCTAGGCCACGAGGCACCTTCCTTCCACACGAGGAAGTTAGCCCGCTAAGAACAGGATTTAAAATTTTTCATATTGTTCTCATTTTCATACTTTGCCTCTCTTTAGAACAGCGCTATTTCAGCTCTTTAGAAGAGAAGGTTTCAAAACCATCTGGAAATCTAGCATGTATCAGAGAAGCAGGAAGGTGAGCGTGGTGTGAAGGGACCAAGTACATGCTGCAACCCTCCCTCAGAACTGACGCAGTCATGAGACTTAACCCACAACTTAAGAGATGAGCATTAAAGGCAGGTGTGGGGGCACACTGCAAATTTAAGGTGAGGACACCTATGCTATAGCATAATATCTTGTCTCGAAAAAGAGGGAGAATCCATCCCTTAGGGAAGAGCCCCATGACCTATGACTATTTCCCATCTCTCGACAGCTCTACCACCACTCTGGGGACCAGGCTTCCAACCCAAGCACCTTTGGGAGACAAAACACATCCAAACCATAGCACTAGAAGTATTACCCATTTGAATGTAATTTTTCTTCATTGATATCTACCCCAACAAGCAGTTGAATGCATGGGTAGATTTTTAGCAGCTTTAGGAGCTTGGTATCACCACATCCCAGGTCTGCAACCTATAGATGAGACACAATGTCATTTGCAAAACATTCATAGACAGAAAAGTATGAGCTTTTAAAACTAGAGGGTGCATGGAAAGACGGTTCAGTTAGTGAAGCGCAAGAATGAGGACCTGAGTTCAGATCCCGGACACCCATGTAAAGTCAGATGGGGCAGAACTTGTCTGGAACCCTACTCACAGCCTAGTCAAATCTGAGAGATCTAGGTTCCATGAGAAACCTATCTCAAAAAATGTAAGGTGGAGAGTGACAGAGAAAGACACACGATGTTGACCTTTTGGGCCTCCACCCACGTGTGTGTGTGCGCGCACGCGCACACGTGCGCACATGTATAGAAGGATCTTAGTATATATAAAAAACAAATTAAGCCGGGCGGTGGTGGCGCACGCCTTTAATCCCAGCACTCGGGAGGCAGAGCCAGGCGGATCGCTGTGAGTTCGAGGCCAGCCTGGGCTACCAAGTGAGTTCCAGGAAAGGCGCAAAGCTACACAGAGAAACCCTGTCTCGAAAAACCAAAAAAAAAAAAAAAAAAAAAAAAAACAAATTAAACTGAGATTTTCTAATCCTGCAGGTTAATCAATGCCTGAGGAAAAGTCAGACAGGGTCATCCCTATTCAGAACAATTGCTACTGTCTGTGTTTGATTCAAGGAGAAAGATAAAAAGGCATGGTGGTCTCTGCCTATAATCCTAGCACTGGGGATGCTGCGGCAGAAAAATGTTTGAAGCTAGCTTGATGTGAGACCCTGCCTTCAAGGAGAGGGGTGGCAGAGAGGGAGGCTAGTTTTCCGGCTCAGAATCACACATAGGGCTGGAGATGTAATTGATAGAGTGCCTGCCTAGCACACCTGAAGCCCTGGGTCCCACCCCTAGAACCATGTGTAATGGTGCAGACCTCGAATACTAACACTTGGAAAGTAGAGCTAAGGAAAATAGGGGGGAGGGGAGTTTCAAGGTTATCCTCAGCCACAGAGCAAGACTCAAAGTTGAATCTTGTTGCTTTGGATTTTTTGTTTTGTTTTGTTTTTTGAGACAGGGTTTCTCTGTGTAGTTTTGGTGCCTGTCCTGGATCTCGCTCTGTAGACCAGGCTGGCCTCGAACTCAGAGATCACCTGCCCCTGCCTCTCGAGTGCTGGGATTAAAAGTGTGTGCCACCACCGCCCGGCCTGTTTGTTTATTTTTAAACAGGGTCTTGGTATGTACTCCTTGCTGGCATGGAACTCACTATACACACCAGACTGGCCTCAAACTCACAGCAATCCTCCTGCCTCTACCTGAGTGTGTCTGAGGCACCATGCCCAGCACAGGTTGGAGTTTCAGCATCATGCTTCAGAAGCAAAGCCTGCTAAAATCTGCTTCTGTTTCTTTCTCACAGAGCAATTTAATTTCTTAATCTTTTTTTTTTCAAGTTTATGCACTAATTTATTTCTTGAGACAGGGACTCCTGTGGCCTAGGCTGGCCTCAAGCTTGATATATGGCCAAACCACCTCCTGAGTGCTAACAATTCTGGGATTACAGCATGCACCACTGTGCCATTGACGAGCTGCTAGAGGTCAAACCCAGGGCTTTGTGCATGCTAGACCGGCATTCCACCAACTGAGCTAAATCCCCAGGCCTAATTTCTCAAATTGTTTAGGAAAACAATCACATTGAGCCATATGAAATTCTATATTGAACTCTGAGCTGAAAAAAAAAAAAGGCACTTCAGATCCTTCAAGTGAACAGATTTGCTGAAAAGGCTACTAAGGTGGATGTGTGAACATTCGAAAACTAGGTGAGGTGATTAAAGGAAGCCGGTAAGAGAAAGCCTCTTACCTTAGTCCTCAGTCAACACTCAGCACCTTACCAGCATCTACTCTCCAGTCATGCCACGCCCATTAGCATAACCACCAGGTACTTTACTCTATGAAACTATGACTCTGCGCCAAAGTTTGGAGCAATGGACAGGCCCACTGCCATCTGATATCATCATCACCACTGTTTTGCTTGTTTGTTCAGTCAGTTTTTGCTTGTGAGTGAGAATCTGACTGTGGAGCTCAGGCTGGCCACCAACTCCAGAGCTTAAGCAAACCTCAAACCTCCTGCCTCAGCAGAGTACACCTGGGGTTAGATACATGTATCATCAAATATGAGAAGAAAAATATGAAAAGTACCTCTGACCACAGTACTGTAATACTGCCTGATATTCCAACTGAACATTCCAGAAGTATGGAATCTATGGCATTAAAAGCAAATAAAAAAAAAAATCAAGATTTTCCTTACATTTAAATGTTAGCAAAGGGGCCTGGAAAAGTGGTTCAGAAAAATGCTGAATGTTCTTTCAGAGGACCCAGGTTCAGTTCCCAGAACCCACATCAGACAGCACATACTGCCTGTAACTCCAGCTCCAGAGGACCTAATCTCCTCTGGTATCACACTGGCACTCGATTTGATTTTTTTTTTTTTTAAGTTGTTTGGACAGGGTTTCTCTGTATAACCCTGGCTGTCCTGAAATTCACTCTGTAAACCAGGCTGGCCTAGAACACAGAGATTTGCCTGCCTCTGCCTCCTGAGTGCTGGGATTAAAGGCATGTACCACCACACTCAGCTTCAAATAAATCTCTAAAAAGAAAAAATTAGTAATGGAGAACTCTTTTTGATACTGTTGCAGTTTTTTGTTGTTGTTGTTGTTTTTGTTTTTTTTCTTGCGCACCACAGTACATGGGTGGAAATGAGAGAATTTGTGGGAGTCAGTTCTCTTGTCTTCTACCAGTTGGATCATGGGATTGAACTCTGGTCATGAGACTTGGCAGCTAATGCCTATACTGGCTGAGTGAGTCATTTCACCTGCTGGCAAGGTGATCTCCACCCGAGCTTTGAGCTCCCTGTACAGGACTAAAGGGACTCACCTATGCTACATGTTCCAGGAAAGGGGTCATTGCAAAGAATGACCTTCCTCCATTAAGACTTAGGCAAGACTCTGTTTCCATTCCCTGCCTCAATGTTGAAAATTACTATTTGTTCCCAAAATTTCCCTTAACCACCGTTTCCTCAAGGTTCTCCGCCACCCCCCACACCCCATCCCCACGCCACTGAACTTTGTCTCCCCAGCTGATGGAAGAGCTTTTCTTCAGTGATCCTTCCCAGCCAGGCTGGGAAATGCCTGCAGTCCCCACTACCGTCAGGGAAAAGAAAGAAGGCCAAAATGGAAAGCAAGCAATCACTTGAGGCCAGGTGTGGCGGCACATACTTTAATTCCAGCAGAGGCAAGTGGATCTCTGAGTTCGAGGCCAGCCTGGTCTACAGAGTGAATTCCAGGACAGCCAGGACTACAAAGAGAAGCTCTGTCTCAAAAAGCAAAAAGCGAGAGAGAGAAGGAAAATAAATCACTTGAGAGTTAGAGACCAGCCTGGGCAACATAGCCAGACCTTAAATTCAAAAACAGAGGGGTGTGGGGGTGGGGGATTCAGCAGATATTGTGGCAAACGCTTGTAAACCCAAATTTGGGAGGGAGGGGCAGGAAAGTGGAGTTGGAGGCCAGCTTGAACTCTAAGACCCTGTCTCCAAAAATAAATAAATTTCTCTCACTATAATTAAGCTGCCCTCACTGTTAAAAATCCTTCTTGTGATTATCATCATGACTTCCTTGGTTTGTGACTTTGTTCATGCCTCCATGGTTAAAAAAGAAAGAAAGAGCCGGGCGGTGGTGGCGCACGCCTTTAATCCCAGCACTCGGGAGGCAGAGCCAGGCGGATCTCTGTGAGTTCGAGGCCAGCCTGTCTCGAAAAACAAAAACAAACAAACAAACAAAAAACAAAAAGAAAGAAAGAAAGAAAGAAAGAAAGAAAGAAAGAAAGAAAGAAAGAAAGAAAAAACCCGCTTAACTCTGAAACACATGGAGTGTTTACCATAAGGTCGTCTCCCTATTGCGATCAGCACTGCGAAGTTTCCCCTGCTGGCCACACCTATAGCCTCTGCTTCAGAGAAGCTGAGGCAGAGGATCACCTGAGTGCGTGAGTTAGAAGCCAGACTAGACAACGTAACAAAACCACACAAAACCTTCTCTTTTTGCCTTTCTGACAGTTCTCTACTTGTATTACAATGCACCGTACTTATATCCGCCACCACCCCAAATCATTCAAGTCTTTTTCAGCAGAGGATGTTGCTTAGCAGCTGAGTGCTTGCTGAGCATGCCAAAGCCCCTGCTTGTAATCCCTAATCCTGAGGAGGTGTGGGGGAGGGGGGCCTAGCCTTACTAGTATATTTGATAAGCCACTTTAAATAGGGCAATCTTAACAGTTAAAAAAAAAAAGATAATTACCTTCTTGGGTTCATGGCGATCCACTAAATCTTTAACAAACTGGTACCGTTGTTTGTATAATGGCGGTTTAAACCTAATTACCTTCTCTGGACAAATGTCTTCAAAATTACCACCAACCACACTATTGTGCTGAAAGATTTTAAACAACAGCAAGTTCTCAATCATGCATGACTTTAGACCATTAAGAAGAAACAAAAAGATTTCTTCTCCCCAGTCACTTGGGGGCAACAACAGCCTCCATACAGCTCAAACCTAAAGTGGTCAGGCTGTGCCACACTCCCTCCACGCCACCAAGCCCTGCACACCACCTCTTTGCAGTATACCATAACTGGGCTTTATGCTTCCTGTAGCTAAACTTCAGGGGTCGTTTTACTGTGTGAACTGCCCAAGACTGTGGTCCAGATAGGCAGACCAGAGGCTAGGAAACGCTGGGCAGACAACAGACTCCCTCAGCAACCAATCTTTACTCAAACTTCTCTAAGGCCACTTCTCTAGCAGGCTTTGATTCTGAATCCCAGTCTTTGGACGGCATAGGCCAGTTTTAGCAAGAATCCTGCTAACTCAGTTTAAAGTGAATTTCCCACCCTTGGTATCTAACCATCCTCACCACCTAAAGTTTAGATTCTAGACGGATGTTTCCTCTTAATTGCCAAAACACTTACCCTATCTTCCCATTCTCTTCTCCTTGCACACACATCTATACAGATATTTCCATTCTCAGCTGCCCTTGCCTTACTTATCCTGGGTTAAACCCTACTACAGTGTTCTTACTGCAACAGTCCTAAGTCAGAATAGCCCTTTTTAGCAGATCCAAGACAAACAGAAATGTTAGGTGTATCGGCAACAGCTGACCCTACTATTCTTACCAGTACTGTAAAGGAATAAAACAAGACTAAACCTGTATCTAGAGTAATGATATCCAATACAAGCAAAGACAAGTGTGGCTGGGATGTAGATTAGTGGTAGACCACTTGTCTTGCATGAGTGAGGCCCTGGCTTCCATCCCCAACAATACAATAAAACATACCCAACACATGCAACCAAGCCACTGCCCTCCTCTCCTCCCCTCCCTCTCTCCGTCTCTCTCCTCTCTCTAGCTGTGTTAGGAATTAAGTCCAGGATTTCATACTTGCTAGTGCTAAAATTAATCAAGGTGAAGGTCGGTTCCTCCCTCGGTTGTACTAGTCACATTCCAGGTGCCCAAATGCTACAGAGCAGGATATTCAGCTTAGGTCTCCAAGTGTGGTCACCAAACCAATATAGCATCTTCCTGGAAACTTAGAGAAATGCAAAGTCTTGGGCCTCAACAGACGACCTCAGCTAAGGCTCTACACTTTAAACTCTCCAGGGAAGGAAAGGGGAAATAAAATTTTCAGGTGACCCATTTGCACATTCTGAGGTATTTTTTAATAACTAACATGTGTTTTTACTTTACATCCAAATGTGGATATTTCACTGATGCCAGTCTTATTTAGTTCAACACCCCAGGGAGATGAAAGGGCCTAAATAGGATGGTTTGTCATTTCTCCACAATACACCCCCCTCTGAGACCCATGTAGGTGGGTAAGAAGGACCAGCGGCATTTACCGGTATGTGCTTTTCTGCCTCTTCCATTTTGTTTCCAACTTCCGTTGTGACAATAATAATAATAATAATAATAATATAAATAACGCAGCTTTATCCTCTGGGCTCTGTATCAGAGAAATCAGCGGCAACTCAGCTGTAAATGCCAAATAATCCCTTTTCACAGGAGACGCCTAGAAGAAATGATGGCCGAGATGAAAAGAGGTAGGTGTTCTGCCTTCTCACCTGTTACCACTTGCCCACAGAATTCACCCAGTAAGGACTGAGATATTGACGATGGGTTCTGAAAGTTCCAACTCAACCAAGCGCACTCCTGTCTTGTTTTACCATTACCAGTGAGATACAAACTTATTGCTAAGATCCTCGACCTCGGGTTATGGAAGCTGCTAAATTGACAAGAATGCTTACCTAGCATCCCCAACACCGCATTAAACCAGACCTAGTGGCACACGAGAGTAACTAACTACGCACACGGAAGTTCAAGGTCCTCCTCGAATTCTCAACCTCATCCATACTGCTTTCAGTAACTTCTCAAACATCGTCAAATGAAACTTGGGGTGGGGGAGGATAACCTTCACAAGCCAGTGATGCTACAACACTGATCCGCATCACTCTCGGCCTTGAATGTTGGTCTTCTATTACACACGTTCCTATCAACGAGGACTTCATCTGAAGTAGGCAAGATGTCAACCACCAGCCCTTCAGTGATTTCCTGGCTTGTATTATGAACCTCAGCTGGGGGTGGAGGGTAGCACCCGTGTTCCATCTCTAGCCCCCGTCTAGCCCCAGCATCACTCACCTAGGGATGAGAAGCAAATCCACCCTAGAGAGCGAGCGGGGCAGACAGAGCACCGCCCCGTCTCTTGTAGCTGCGGGCCCCGCCCCCGACGCCCGCGCAGCCGCGCTGCTCCACCCCGGGGTCTCCGCACCTGGCTGGCCGCACCTGGCCGCCGGCTGCCCCTGCGCCTCGCGCCTGCGCCCTGCGCCCTCAGCGGCCTCGCTGGGCGTGCGACGCCCGGCCATGCTCTGGCCCCATGCCTCCAGGCTGCCGACTCCACGGCGTCGGTTCTGGGTCCCTTAACGGCCGCCGTGGCGCATGCCCCGAAGACATTTTCCAGATCTTCCGAACCCTGGGGGCCAGGGCTCTCAGCCCCTCCGCATCCCGGGCCCTCGCGCGGCGGCGATCTGCCCCCCTGCCGCGACTGTTGGGTGCGGCCCAGACGGGCGGCCAGGCTGCGGGCTTGGCGGCTGTTAGGTTCGTGGCGCCCCGGGTGCGAGGCTCCTCGTGCGCGGAAGGGACGGGGAGATCGTCCCGGGCCAATGGCAGGCCACAGAAGGGGCAGGTGGGCTCAGCGCGAGGCGGCTGGCCCAGAGCAGTGAATGGCAACGAGGGCCTGTGAGGGACCCTAAGCTGGGGAAAGTTGATTCCCAGTCACCTAAGTTCTTGGACATATTCTTTCAGCTTCCAACAACCGGCTTTTTTTTTCTCTCTCTCTCTCTCTCTCTCTCTCTTTTTAACCATATACACTTTCAGGACTGCCTGATCTCAGAAAACCTGTTACGTCCCCTTTCCATCAACTTTACACATGTTGTATGCAACCAAAGAAGGTTCTGGGAGCATGGGTGGGGGAGGGGCGCAAAACCCGCTTTGAAACTGAAAACTGAGGCAGGTGTGGCGGCCCATTCAATCCCAGCCCTTCAAGTGGGAGGTGGAGACAGAATCAGGAATTCAAAGTCATCATCAACGCCACGGTTGGGGGCCAGCCTGGGCAGCATCGAGACCCTTGTCTCAAATTCATTCATTCATTTATCCCAAAGCTTGTTGTTTACTGGCAAACAGCCAGGTAATATACCATAAATGAGCTGCGCATGCCTGCGGTATCAGCACTTGGAGATCAGGATCAGAAATTCAAGACCAGCTTCAGGCACTAACGAAAAGCCACAAATGAAATATTAAATATTCAAACGCTCACTGGCTGCTCTATGCAACATCATGATGCTGATGTTACAAGGGTAGCACAAAGATAAATGGCATCTTGTCCTCAGTATTTTATAGTCTAATGTGTAACTCGGGCTTTACAGATAGGATCGTATGCTATTACAGTGTGAGAGATTCCTGGCGGCTTAGCACACATACAGTTCAAACAGAAGGTGACCTCCGCACTAGGCACGATCTAGAACCCCTGAGCATGCCTATGGTGGGGGACTGGCTGATTCCCTTAGTTGATGCGGAAAGGCTTGAGCACTGCGGGTGGTGGTATTCCTGGCTTGACTGCTTCTTGACTGGATACCACGTGACCCACTTTCTCAAGCTTCTGCTCCTGTGACTTCTTCCCCAAGGGGTAGCGGTGGGGAGAAGGGCTGTAACCTGGAACTTTGAGCAGAGATAATCCCTTCCTTTCCCTCTAGAATTGCTTCTGTCAGGGTATTTTATCGCAGTGAGACAGCAGCAATAAGGCCAGTTGAGGAAAAATTAGTTCCTTCTGGTCAAGAGAATTAAATCTCTGATCTAGGTGGACTCCTAACATTTCATTTGGTCTGGTCAACCACCTGGCCCAGAAAGAGACCACCCCTCCAGAAATGTCTCCCCCGACAGGCTCATCTATTCAAGGACTGGTATCCAGCTAGTGTCCCTATTGAGAAGTAACTAGATGGGGTGTGGGGGGAGGTTGTTAATGATCCATTGATGGATTTATATCTGAATCAGCTGAATAGGCTAAGAGGTGGGTCCTAACTGGGAGAAGTAACTCACAGGGCCTGGACCTCCCCCTCTCCTCTTTCTGATTTTCATGAGGTGAACAGGCTCCTTTACTACATGGTCCCATTGTCCTAACATTCTACCTTACCTCAGGCACAAAGCCTGGGGCTGTCAGAACTTGGATTGAAACCTCTGAAAGCATAAACCTAGATTCCTATTTTGAGATATTTTATCTCTGGTGTTTTTTTCACAGCAGACAGAGCTAGAATTTTTGTTAGTCGACCCATTTATGGATGTAAATTCCTCACTTGCCTATTTCATCCTTTCTTGGACTCCTGTGAGGCTCTGAGCTCGGTCCTCAAGCCTGAAAATTATCCTTGGTTCTGTTCACTCTGCCCTTCCCCAATCTGAACCACCACCAAACTCCAGACTTCAAGCTGTGTGCTGCATCTGTTCTTTCCCCAGCCAACGCCTTATTATAGACTTTGCCTTAAGGTAGCCTGCGTGGACGTGACTCACCTTTCTCTACCACGTTGTGAGTCCCACTGAGAGGTAGACCGCGTCGACTTTGAAGTCAAACGACCGAACCTCAAGTACTGATTTTACTTTTGCTCCCGAACCCTTCAAAAAACGTTTTCTGAAAAATAAGAATCAGCCGGGCAGTGGCGGCACACCACTTTAATCCCAGCACTGGGAGACAGGGGCAGGCAGATCTTTAAGTCCCAGGCCAGCCTGCTCTTCAAAGTGGGTTCCAGGACAGCCAGGGATACACAGAGAAACCTTGTCTCAAAAAAAAAAAAAAAAAAAAAAAAAAAAAAAAAAAAGAGGAGGAGAAGGAGGAGAATAAACTGAGATTATCTATCTCATCAATGGCTTCATAGAGCAACGAGTGAATCAAACTCTGTTTTGAATGAAAAAAAGAAAGCAATCCACTCAGAGCGCTTAGACCAATCAGTGTGTAAAGGCATCTGACATACAATAGGAAATCAAGTTACCCTAAACTGAGTGCAATGGTCCAAGTTACTTGAGAGACTGAGGCAGGTGGATCACTAGAGCCCTGAAGCCAGGAGTTCAAGGCTAGCCTGCACCACCCTGTCTCAAATTTTAAAAATAAAACAAAGGTTATCCTGGATGCTAACGTAAGCACGATGATCATAACAGAATGAGACATTTGGTGGTCTTAATAGAATTATTGTTACATCTAAGAAAAAGTAAATAATGTAGCTAAAAGGAAGATTGACAGGTTAAAACTCTCACATTCTTTGACGCTTCTATTGAGGAGTGTGGTCCATTTCATCTCCTTTGGAATTGATATACATTTTATTGGGTAGGTGTAGTGGTATTTGCTCTGCATGACCTTGGGCTATAGGGCCCAAAAGAGTCAATGCTTCCTGCTATTGTACATGACCTCTTAAAATGAGGAGAAGGGTCATATGCCCCTTCTCCCTGCTCCTGCCTGCGAGATGGATTTGCTCCCGGTCAGATCAGAGGACGTCTTCAGCTGTCTACTCTGTTCTGTATTCGTGAATGTATTTCCTCAATTTACCTTAATAATTTCCCTAATACTTCTTAAACAGACTCCCGTGGATTTATCGCTTTATGTGGGTTTCTTTATTTTTGAGACAGGGTTTCCAGTCTTGTGGTGCCAGTCTTGCCCAGGCTAGCCTCAAATTTCCTGATCCTCCTGCCTCTGCCTCCTGAGTTGCTGGATCTCCATCTGGATATTGCCACATCAGACTTGAGCTTTGTGAGTTCATCAGTGACAAGTGTACCATAGTGCTACTTTCTGGGCCCAGGAGAGAAGAAACTGGCAGCTTATTCTCCTGTCTCTGGGAACACTCACTCTGAAAACCAGGTCCACCTCTGACCTACACTCATCTATATGTGCATCCAAACACACAAACATATACAACACACACACACACACACACACACACACACACACACACACACACACAAATAAAATTAAATAAGTGTGGTGGTTTGAAAGAAAACGACCCCCATAGGCTCATAGAGAGTAGCACTGCTAGGAGATATGGCCTTGCTGAAGTGGGTGTGGCTTTGTTGGAGAAGGTGGGTCAGTAGGAGGAGGCTTTGAGGTCTCAGAAGCTTAAGCCTGCCTAGTGACTCACTGTGTCTTCCTGCTGCCTGCAAATCCGGATGCAGAACTCTCAGCTACCTCTCCAGCACCAGGTCTGCCTACATGCCACCAAGCTTCCTGCCATGATGATAACGGACTAAACCTCTGAAAATGTGATCCAGCCCCAATTAAGTGTTTTCCTTTATAAAAGTTGCTGTAGTCATGGTATCTCTTCACAGCAATAAAACCCTAAGACAGTAGGTAAATGAAAATTAAAAAACAAATAATGAGGAAATTGTTTAAACACATCTCAGGATGTATCTGTAAGAAAATCTCAAGTGACAATTAGATCATGAGAACACTGGTGTAATTATTGAGTTAATGAATTAATGCCTTTACACTATGACGACAGGAAGTGGTTAAAAAGGTAGGAACTGGGTCCTAGTTGGAGGAAGTAGGTCTGGGAGTTTGTCCCTAGGAGCTCTACTCTGTCCTGGCTCCTTCCTGTACCCCATTTCCTCTGCTTTTTATGACCTACTGTGGCTGGCCTGCTCTGCTGTACAGTGACCTCTTCACCCTGATGGTCTGATACCTCTGAAACTGTGAACTAAAATAAACCTGTAAGCAAGGGCATAGTGAAACCACCTAACTAGACTGCTCCATGGGTGGGAAGAAGGTTTGCTGTACATGTGAAACTGCAGCATGGCTATCCTTCCAGTGGTAGAGAGGATAGATAGCAAGAGGTGTTTGGAGGAGTCCAAAGCTGCCATGGCTATCTCTTGAGAGACAGAGAATAGCAAAAGGATGGGGAAAGCCTTGCTAGTTTTAAAGAGAACATGTAGCTGCAGGGTGGGGGTGGGGGAGGTATGCAAGCCAGAACACCCCGGGAGCTGCATGGGGGCTTTGATGTGTTACAGATATGTACTAATGGAGAGCTATTAAGTCCCACAGCCAGAAGCTGGGAGAGATAAGGGAAGTGGTTTTTCCTGGCAGACAGAAACCAGTTTCACAGGTTTCTGGGGAATGCTGAGTGTAAGCTTCCATCTATCCAGCAGCAATCCTTCAGGTCCCGCCTGGGCTGAACCCAGATGTCATTTAGGACATGGTCAGTGGCACTGTCATTTGGGGGGCTTGGG